GGTGGTCAAGGTTAATAAGCGAATAATTAACAAGATCAAAATATGACTCATAATGGATAGGCGAAATAGCTTGGCCAGCAACTAGAATAAAGTATATGGGCTTAACATATAAACTGATACTACAACCTAGCCAAGTCATCCAGCAGTTGGGTCGCTGAAAGTCGAACCGTTCATCGACCCCTGTCAAGTTCCAGGACAACCATCGCTTATCAACCGATTGCTCGCCATGGACTGGCCTTTGCGGTGGTGGTCTGAACCTCTGTCTTGTGCCTACTTTTACCAATATATTTATGTGATAGAGTTTTTTGTTCTGCACGATTCTCAAAGCAGCCATAGTACCTTGATACGATGAAAGCGTAATCCACGTTATGTGCTGATTTTAAGGTTTGACTTCGAAGCTAGTTAGCTCGTCACACATTTCCCGTCAAACTCGAGTAGGCCTTCAATCGACATAGATCATCTGTGTTGGTGATCTACATTCTCATAATTATCACTTTTTACGTATTGAAAATTTTTTTGGCAACCACCCATATGTATTAGTAGTTTAAATAATCCGTATCACGGTTAAGTAGTAGTGAGTTCGAAATCTCGCAGTAACTAAGTGAACCATATCAGACTTGACAAACCGACTGAAGCACTAGTTGAGATTCTTATTTTCCAAGGTTATCCTTATGCTCCTTTAGTCGGCCTGCCGACGAAACTGTGTTTGTAAATCAGCTCATATGGGCAGAATATCGACATTAACATTAACTGACTTTCTAATTTAATCCAAAGACAATACCAATATCAACATTTCTGCAATATCGATTGTTTTTCTATTTCTCAGTACAAAATACTCATACTGCCTACATGTTAGACTGTTAACCAAAGGCTATTACCACGCATCTGTATACCACATCATTGCTCATTATTACAAACCCACTTTGTTCAACTCCTAGATGATATTCATGAAAATTTTCATCTTAGGCGTGTTCAGAATTAAAGCAAAAACTTTGAAATCATTACATGTATTTCCCGATCATTTGTCGCCGTATTCTTTTTGATTTATCTTCCAGCCTGTTAATACTTGGAGGATTTTTATTGCTTTTTGATACCCCCCCCCATCTTGTGACAGTTCCACTCGATTGAGTATCGAACCAGAGTAGTGCAGTGGTATTAGTCCCTAATCAAAGGATTCTGGAAGATGAACATATAATTGCTGTAAATATATGCATTCAATATGTAATACATGGAGGGGGTTGGTGATGGTGAACATGGGAACAGTTATTCGAGATGACACGGCTTAACCATGCATGCGCGGTTACCCCACGTAACCTCTTGTCCTTTAATTGAATTTATTACTCTATAATCAGCCCATGATTTTTTCTTCAGAAGTGCAATACGTCATATTTCTGATTGTCACGATTGTACGAGTCTGCCCATACATTAATACGACTTCCACTTAAGATCTTATAGATAGGGTAGTCACATCGTAACATATATACCGTTGTGAGATTATGTCTATTTATATAGTACTAAAGATAAATGTGATACTACCGAAGTGGACGATAATCTTACAGTACTGTCATTTTCACTTATTACAATGCATGCTACTTTCCAAAAGATACCAATGATATTGGCGTTGGCAATTGCTCTTTTGCACTGTCTGGTCATCAACGACAGGTTTTAAAAACAGAAACTAGACACAAACATACCCAGAGACAAGAGACAGATGACTAGAAAAAAGCGAAAAACTATAAATTGTTAAAACCAGAAATGCAAGCAGTTGCGAAAATACCCAGTGTAAATAAGGTACAGATGATCAATTACTTTCTAAAAACGATTATTTCGGCGACTACTTTAACTGAGATCAATTCAGTTGAAGCGAAAACAGTAGTATCGATGCATAGTCAGCGGTAAAACCATGAAGCCAAATCAACAAGGAAAAGACACTGTCTTTTTTGAAAAGCGCGCCTGATTAGGGTTAAATCAGCGGGATTTCATGACAGAACATTTGTGGGGATATAGGGAATGGGTTTCGGAGAATTCAGTAGGATGAGATTTACAAATACGTTTACATCTGTTATAAGTTTTCCGATGCAATACTTGAGCGCCCATAATTTCTTATGGTCTAGCCTGGAGTAAGTGATCAACGATGCTGGTTCTATGAGCACGACATTTCTCTACTATACTTTAGAGACCTATGTAAATTTTGTTTGTCTTTGTTTAGCCAACTCTTCTTTGTTTCTACGGTCCTAAATTCGTTTTATCCAAAAACATGCGTAGCGATGGATTTAATAAAGAGAATTAAGTTGAAGTTATCTCGCTATAGTGTACTTATCATTTGTGGCTTTCGTAATGATATTATTATTGGATGGCTTGCTACTTTTATACACCTTCCTCTGTGATATATCTACATATCATCTGTTTCTTTCTAGACTGGCATCCCCTTTTGCTCGACGAGGCACATGAGTAAAATGGGATGGCCAAAACGCTGCATTGTAGAACTATTTTCCCTTTCAAAGATTTTACGAAATCAGTATTTTGCAGTAATTGGTAATTTCATTGGGATAACTCCTTCACTAGTTTTGATTTAGGAATAGCCCAAGAGGCCATATTATTCAGTTACTCTCGATCTTGGTCCATCCCAACCTTAGTGGACAGGCTACTTTACTTCATTAGTATACTTAGAGAAAAGAAAAAATCTTTTCTAGACTGATTTATATTTAGATGAAATGAGAACAAAATGGTAGTTATTTATCAAGACCATGAAATGTGCAGTGTCAAACCACTTATTAAACTCATGGCACTAGTGACACTGGGTTGTGGAACTAAGAAGACTATAGTTAACTGGCAGCACAATATTGGACTCTCCTTGAAGAGTTCTCGTGAAAACCTGCATATTAATCGTATCAGAATCCTAAGTCGGAACACAGTACCATTGCTTTCACGTTAGATCTTATAGAATAGATAGTCACGTCATAACAAATATACGATTTCGGGGTTATATGTATTGTCATGGCAACAAAGATAAGTGTACTAATATAGGATTAGACCATAATGCCACAATAGTTAAAAATGAACTTTCTGCCTCTGGACAGGTGGGTGAAGAGCGGAAGCTTGAAATTCACCCTATCTAACTGATAGTTGGTATACATCCAGTCCCGCGTTATAAAAGAGTGGTCTATGTGCTTTATGACCACTTGCTTCTACCGACTCCCAAAATTTGTAAACTAGGTTTAGTGATCACGAAATGCGTATTCACTGAAACAAACTGCTCTGGATGCATTACCAAAACCCCAGTTTATTCGTACACAACTCGGCACACTCAACCCAGAATTTTTATCTATTCCTTTTCTCAGTGGAAACTACGGGATTGTTTCACCATCTCTGCTCAGAACGAACACAAAAATCTTGATATTACTGTGAACGAATGGAAAGCACTGCACAGTACTTAAACGTGAACAATAGAAAAGGTGATTACATCACCTTTCATTACTGTCGCTGACTCATGGAAAATAGGAGTTAACATGGTACATAATAAAATAAGTAACCTATAACACCTTTATATCCCAAGTTTCTGTCTGTGAGGTAGTTTTTAATAAATTTAACACTACAGAGCAAATTAATATTGTGACATACAATGCCTAAAATCTGAAGCTGATACACAGTGTGCTACGCACTAACATTCCAGCTATCTACTTGAGCTAGAAAGTGTATTGGACTACCGAATGAGATGTACAAATACTTATATATATACCACTCTATCCTTAGGAAATTGACCTAATGACCTAATGAAATGCACCTGAATCTTAGGTCATTTCTGATTGTCATTGATTGATATTTTCTTTAGGCTACTTCTAATCATCTCTTCATATCAATATCTACACGGAGTCTGTTTTAATCCCTACAGGCTTTTCGTATCTGAAACTCTCTTCTAGTAGCCTTGGCAAAAGTCACTCCCATGACCATTAGAAGTACGACAGTTCTGTAGAAACCAATAGTATCCCGTCTATCGTAGGTAACAGAATTTAAGTAACATACCAAGAGGATACGACATTATTGTAATCATTATAATTGTCGATTTACCCAATAAAATCGCCACCAACATCTTTTTAAAATTATCAATGACAACTTCACCCACCCTTTCTTATCTCTCATCCCTACCTTTTATTTTCTGTGTTGATATATTATTCTTCCTAACTATCTACTTCTTTATGCATTTTAACTATTTATATACCTTGAACTTGTACCTCCTTCAACGCTTTTCTATTCCAGGCTTAAAACCTTTCGTATTACGGCCAACTTACGAGATCGTACTTCTAGGGATCAGTCCTATAGTACGTATCACCAGGACGTCAAACAAACTTGACCCTGGCCAACCAACCGCGATGATGATCAGTGCGGCCTATTTCTGAGCGTGAAGCGGGTGTGTGGCTGTCCGTCTGGCTGGCTTCTCACGAAGTCTATTCCAGGGCTTTTAGGCATCTTGACGCTAAAACGTTTCTGAATTTGTATACAGTGTTCGTACGCCCTAAACTTGAGTACTGCATACAAGCAGCTAGCCCCTACCTAAAAAAAGACAGTGAACTCTTGAAAAGGGTTCAGAGAACAGCAACTAGGCTGATTCCCGGAATAGCGAAGCTCCCGTATGGTACTAGACTTACCAAGCTAAACATATTCCCGCTGTCATATAGAAGAATCAGAGGCGACTTGATTACAGTTTTCAAATTGCTTAATGACAAATTTGCACCTGATATGCCCTCATTTTTCTTGTCTTCCAAAATAGAAAATCTAAGAGGACACTCCAAAAAAGTTCACAAGCCCAGAACGAACTACTTGTTAGCTGACTACCGACTTTCCAATCGAATAATCAACGAGTGGAATTCATTACCTCAGCACGTGGTTGAGGCTCCATCCATCGACTCCTTCAAAAGAAAGTTGGATCAGCTGAGAGACCATCATTGCCAGGACTAACACAGGCCATCAAGCCTCCTGTCCTTTCCAAACTGATACTGAAAATGGAACTGAAACTAACAACGTGGCGTCAACTGGTTATATCTGTTAAACTTATTTGAGACAAACTAGCTTATTTGTATTTAGGAAGTGCTAAACTTTGAATAACTGTCAGATCCAGTGGAACTAATTTTACCAAGTTGCTAAACTATCCCCAGTGAACGATAACAAGGACTTAGAACCGCACTACAAGGTCGAGTAGCGGGAATAAGGAATTCGGCTGATTTTAATTGTCTCTACACCAAGATAGTGGATACTGGGAGGAGATCTCAGTAGTTGACGTTATTCGAGTACGATGTCGGGTTACCTTTCTACGCGCGATGTGTAAAAGTGTTCGCTTCTTTCCTTGCTTGGAGTATTAGTTGTTTGCTGTCTATGTTCAGGAGTAATTATAATGTTGAGTGTATGCAGTCCTTATGTCCTTACATACTTTTGTAAGTTACAGTGTTTCTGTCTCATCATTCCGTTCTCTTGAGGTACTTCTTATTAACTAATTTGCGTAACTGCATAATGTACTTGTAATTTATGAGGTATAAGGAAGCTAGTTTTCACATTTCCAGTTGGTGAGATTTACCCAGTGACACAATTAAAAGTTTTTGATGCTTAGAGACATAATTTTAAAGCACTCCTTTCCATTCGGTTGACATCTGTAAAATATTTTCCGGTCATGGAAAATGGACGAAAAACAGGAGATACTTAGCGGATTCCCGATGTTTGCTTCATGGATTATTTCTAGTTCCTACGGCTTTTAAATACCAAATAAATAGCTCTGTTCCTACGTCCTGATCATTCGCGAACCCAATATTACGGTGTTAAAGGTAATAGGCATCCAAAGTCTTTTATGGACTACGAGACGGTTGATTAACATCTCTTAATTCGTTGGAAACTATGGAAACCTTTGATAACTTCAAAGTGACTGAAATGTTAAATTTTTCCATCATAGACTGTAACGGAACCAAGCTTTTGTTTCACGTATTTGTCATCAATAATATTAAAATGTCATTAACATCATAGACAATTAATTTTTATTTTCAGCGAGTTGGAAATTTGGGATTCGTTTTCGCCATCATTACTCATTAACCGCACAAACCTTCATAAATATAGCTATTCGCTCTTAAGCAACATATTCTATTACGTGATGTTAAAAATGTTTTGTAACAGTGATGAGATATTTTTGAAGTTAACTATAGTTTATCAGGTAGTTGCTAGTTATAATTAGATTTTTCGTTATCTTTTTCAGTTATGCTAATATCTACACACATTCTTGTACCATAACTGTGAATGAATACCTAGTAAACCCTTACGTTCAAATGGATTTTCAAGGCATCTGGTAACAGATAGTTTAGATGGTTTCATTAGTTCATTCGATAAAACCAAACTGTAAAGAGGAAGTTGAGCGACACTAAGTAATTATTGACTACATTCAGTTCATCAAAGTACGTCAAATATGAAGGAAGGATTCATCATCTCAGGATTAGGAAGTATTATGGTTCTGGAATCTATAATTTGGAGTTATAATCAGAGTCGAGATTAAGTTTGTTGCAGATTTAAGAATACTATTTACTGTTGGAGTTAGGATTAGTGTATGAAACCTAGGGTTAGATTTAGGATTAAGGCAGTAGAACTGTGCTTTTTTGACGGAGCGATGAAGTTAAAAATGATGAATTTCTTTCGTGAATTTCAGGACACTATGACGGATAGCTCATACTTCATCAAAAGCTCTGTCAAAACTGCTCATGTTTAGTTCTTAAGATATTTGGAATCGGAAAATATATCTAATGTAGAACTGTACAGTGAATGTAACGTAGTGTGTCAGTTAACCTAAAATAAACACGTGCTGCTCATCACGATTGTGTCCAAAATGCTTACTATTGGTTGAAGGTACTCGGGGAATTATCTAGTGTGTTCATGAGCTCTCGTAGTGATCCGTGCATCACGACCTATCCGGTACAGAAAAATAATTATGCATTAGTTGAGTGTTAGTGATATTGTCATCGGGTCACTGTTTGTATGCGTTATTTTGTCGATTCTATAACTGGTATGGATATTAATAATCTTTAATCAGTTTAGTCACCATTAAAGAACTATATATAGCCTTACGAAGGTTCTAAAAGTAAAATGAACTCAAGTAATATGGACGAAATTCTTTATCATACTGAAGTTGATTTTCATGACTAGGAGCAGACTACGAACTTTAAAAAACCCATTAATCGCGCATAAACCGTACATGAATTTTAATGTTCTCTGTTTTCTGTAATAAATTATTCATTTGTAACACGTATTGTGGCTGGCCAAAAGGTAACTGGAGATCATCCATAAAGTTTAGTTCTACTGGTCGAGACCATAGCATTAAATACTAGTCTCAACTTTAAGTTTAGGTATCTAAAAATGCTTTTGTCACTAAAAACTTTATCTGCGTTTGATAAACATTTTGCTCTGATATTGACTTGATCGTTCCTGATCAACTCTACCTAACAGTTTAACTTTGGCCTTTGTCAACTTCATAAAAAGACGCTTGTATCCACATCTATAGGTTGGTACAAATTGAGAGTATTGTTTGGAGTTGAGGCCCCACAGTTGTTACATAAGTTTCACGACTTTGAGGAACGTAGGCCACACCATGACCACCTAAGTCAATGTTGGTTAACAGCTTTATCAACTGACTAGAATTTCTAACCTGGCGCCCTACGTTTAACCTCACCGCCAAGTCCGTGGTGTTATTTGTTTTTAATTCGCCTCTTATGAGTCTCAATAGTTACATAGTATTACTTCTGAGACCTCCCTGTCGTTTAAGTTCTGCTTTTGATGTTTACCGCTACTCACGCTTATCGCACATGTATTTTTGTCAGTCTACATATGGGAATAGCTACAGAAGCCTGATTATTGTTATATTTTTCTGTTCGGAAGCTGAGTTTTGCCTTGTTGGTCGATGAGTTTTATGGCAGTGGGTCATCAAAAGGCTTATTGAAGTTCTGAATGCTTTTCACTCATATATATAACTCCCAAGCCCTTCTTTATGACCGAATATCTTCGTAAGACGAATAATAACTGACGGATAATCAATAAACGATTATCTTGTTCTATTCGGTGTCCGGTGATTGTCCTATGTATGTATATATTTTTCCCTAAAGTAATTTTTTAAAAATGTTTTATGCAAAAGTGGATTTTAAAAAAGTGAGGTTTTTCATCTCTTTGATAGCTTCAGTTAAAAGCTGCACAGAAAACGGAATTTTACATTTCTCTGGAATTGTTACTCTTGGAATAAAGTTTGCGTATTTGTTTGCAGTCAGTTCTCTTCATTTTACTTTCGTTTCTTTGCCACTGAAAATCGTTATTTTTCTAATTTTTAAAATCGAAATCCAATTGTTTCGTTTCCATGACGTCTTATTAAATGCCTCTCGATGTTACTATATTTATTTCATTACTTAAATACTACCACTTCTCTCTTTTTGTCTAGTGGTATTTAGAGTTTCCAAGAGTTCTCTACACCACAACACAATAAGTTAATTTCTATTTCTTGAAAGAAATGAGGAGAACATTGTTGTACGTCTATAGTCTATTGGTTTTAAACAAATTCATCATTTTTTCCCAAGAAAAGTCTTTCCAATGATCTTTCAATGAAATGGGAAATTTGTTTAACATTTATGAGTTTCTTTAATTGATCTAAATACTTTTGGTATCCTTAAGAATGCAGATATGATTAGTTGCAAAGTCATTCGGTTTCACCAAAGTACACCTTAGTTTTTGCGTGAATGACAACTAAAGTTGTAAGAGAACATACATTGATTCCTTGCAGTTGACTTCTGATCATGAATGGCCTTCATTCCAATCAAGCTAAGATTTATACTTCTTAGGTTTTAATTTTTTTGTACTAAAAATAAGTTTCTCGGGGAACTTACTTTCAATTGAGTTCTAAGCATATAATTAGTTTGTAGTTTGGTGGTTCAGCCATTATTTTACCAGTTGAAACACATCATTCGGTTCCGATTAAGGAACCAACTTGTGTTGTTAGCTTCTGTGCTGTTTACAATTTTTGGTGCTAATACCTGTACATGGTCACTGAGTTATGTTAATTCTCCGAGCATCTTTATCATTGTTTTGAAGAGTAGTTTTGATCAATTAGTACTGCCGGTGTTGTGTGAAGTGTTATAGGTAGAGAAATTAGGTCATTTGTAATGGTCAACAACTTAATGCATATATGATTGTTGGGATAAAGTGGTGTATGTGACTGACTAGTTGGTCTCAATCTGTGCTGTTGGCCGAAATATAAGTAGTAGTAGATAAGTTTTTACAAAGTCAGTGGTTGTCACTGGGTGTCTTTTCTTATAAATCCAGTGTATTGTTAGTGTAGAAGTTTAAATCAAATACTTTAGAATTCCTAAATTTTGTAAGCCTGTTTTCCAAAATATTAAAACTCTATTCATTCAATTTCACTTAATGGTTAACTGATTTTAATGGAGTGCGATTTGTTGTCGTTTTAGCGTTCGATTTACGATATAAATACCTATGTACAATTTGTACAAAATCTATGATAACTGTTTCAATTATTAATATTATATTGACTGGTTACACTGTCAATCCTACATTATTGTTAAGATAAGTACTCATGAGTTGTTTTGTAAAATGGCTAACATATTTTTCATCACATTAAAGAAAATCAATTAAATATTGCAAATTTTCTCTAAAAATTTTTTAATGAAATAAAGGATTTTAGATTAAATGAGTTATTATGAGAAAAGTGAGCAGACATGTGATTACTCAGTCGTATCATCAAAGGACTGATCAACCCATGCTCAGTCATGTGTCTATAAACCATCATAAACTAGTGGACAGTAGTGTACCACCAATCAATTAACTAGTTAACAGATAGAAATAATAACCTAGAACCCTGAAGAAATGTACATAATCAAGTTACCATAATCCGTAGCATCTTGATGCTTATCAAAATAAAAGATATCAAAACGTGAACCGAGATGGAATAACAAGTAATGAAACATTTAAAATTGAGAGTGAGCGTATCTCCTTCATTGTAACAGGTTCTAAGCAATCATCTAGTCTTTAGTCGCTGACTTTCGTCTTCTTGGTAACCCTATATAGGATGTCTTAAATTTTCTATTCAATTCGGGCTAACAAGACATTGACTACAGGTTCTATCGTATTTTTATTATATTAGTCGAAGGGCTATTAAGTAACCTTCCGTTCTTACCCGACATAGATACGAACAATATCTGGAACTTAAAACTCGGTGTCGCATCTCCTTTTTCATACTAATTGTGATCGTCTTAAACATCTCACATTCTATCTCTAAGATATTTTGATGTAAATCAAGTTATTTCTCACTATCTGGTGTTCGGTAACGCAAATCTAGTAGACGACAAAGGATCCTTCATCTTGTCACCGTATTCAGTTTATGTTGTTCAGAAGTAACTGCAACGGGAGATGTTAATTCAATACATATTGACCTACATTAGTATGTTTGCTGTAAGTCTGAACAGTTGTAACAAAATGTATGTCTAGCGCACCCACTTTGTTTTACCACGACGCGTTATGCTGACTAGTATTGGGGATGGTTGGAAGAGAGTTAGGGGCGGCCAAACCAAAACATGGCATCAGTGCTTAAAGTCACTAACTTCTAGCCTGAGCTATGTTGGCAGATGCAGACTACCTGGTTGGGGTCCGCGTGACTATCGTAACCAGTGATTGGAGACTCTGGGTGACATGGCTCAGAATCGATCACAATTGCGTAGGTGTATACACTCTTTGTATTCCCTTAAACCTTGAGAATAAAATTGCTTCATAACTTTCTTCCTTCCTGTACTATATCCTTATATACAACCTATAATTTATATACTTCCACCACCACTAAATTAACTACATCTATGAATTTGGTATTCATCTTGTTGTGTTAACGAGGTATGGCAACTTGGACCGATGCATTTATGTGCCTGGTCCTACGTTGTAGCTGACTGACTGACCCACTTTGTTTCCACACCAAAAAACAGTTTATTATAAAATCTTGCATGACAGCTTGATTAAACTAAGGAGCAAGTTATCCTTTGAACCATCCTCTGTCATGCAATATCAATATTTAAAGGTGATCTGTTTAAATACAGTTTATACTACGAGGTATCATTCGATTAGACCACAAAAATTCAACTTTCTAGTCACCAACTCGTTTTTCATATTCATGTTATGCATATTCTTATGAGGGCTTCATTTTCTGTATTTTGTCCAGTAGAACATTTTCCAAGTGATCTGGAGACTCCCGTCTAGCTAATTTCTGTTTTTACCCTGGGAATTATAAATCATCGATAGCAATATGTCCAATAATAGTGGACTGGATATAACAAATTTGGATGATTTACGTGATCCATCGGGAATTTTTTCACTGATCGAAGTTGTGGGTAAAGGTACTTATGGAAATGTTTACAAGGGGCGATACACGCGAACTGGTCAGCTAGCTGCCATCAAGGTTATGCCAATTACTGAAGAGGATGAAGAAGAAATTAAGCTGGAAATTGATACATTAAAAAAGGTTAGTTTTCGTCTCATTTGTAGATTAAATAATTATGTTTTGAAGCCTAACAAAATTAGGTAAAATTTAGGTTATTTTGTAACCTATCATATGTATTGATCGTCAGACAACAGTTTCATCATACCACAACTTTATTACGATTTTTGCTTGAAGTCATTCTTTTAAATTTAACACGGATCTATCATAATGGATGTAGGTATCTTCTGTGCTTTCAATGTACTTGTTATTATTGTTTCTCGCTACATATTTCATGATATAACGAGAGTCAACTGGAATATTTTCTGAAGTGATGTAATACTGATAAATATCTCCAATTTTTTGATTCCTGGCTTTGGGAATATGTAATGTACTTTGTTACTCTATCATGGAATATGTAGTTATCGTTGATACTCATTGAATTTAAGGTGAAGTCAGATCATTCTTAGCTTATATATAATCATACATTCAGTGTATAATATTAATTTTGACAGGATGAAATGTTATCTCTCGCTACTTCGATAAATTTTACTCGATATGACTTTTCCAGTTTATTTTGTTATTTCACCCTGTATACCCACTTGATTTATCTGTCTGTCATTCACTCAGTGAATCACGGATTACAATATTGTTTGTGTTTACCAAAATTCGATCAGTCATGTATTACCACTAGACGTTATGTATGATAATGATTTCAACTGTTCTTATTCACTGTTCAAAATAATGAACAATGTTTTGTTTGTAGCATTATTTAAACTGTATTTAGTTAGTCTAAAATCAACATATTAATTTGTAAGATTTGTTTTCTTAAATTCTTTATATTAAAATTTGTCAAATCCTCTTTGTATTCACTGTTGTTGTTTATTTTCTTGTTTTGTTTAGTTATCGAATCATCGAAATATTGCTAGTTATTATGGTGCATTTATTAAAAAATCTTCACCTCGTGATCATCTTTGGGTAAGATATTTTTTTGTAATCATAACAATCTTAAATTGAAACAAAGTTATTGCTAAGCAGAGATGGATAGTGGCTAGCAGTGGAATCCAGGACGCGCGTTTCGTCCTATTTGGGACTCGACAGCCGGATGTACCTGCATCTCAGAGTTGATGTTCACTCTGGGACTCGAACCCAGTACCCTCGCTTCAAACGCCATCGCGTTATCCACTCGGCCACTGAGTCCTGATAGCCACTTGCTTGTGCGATGGGGTGAAGTTTGAATTCACTTAGTATTGTTTGTTTGGATCTTCCCAAAGTTATTGCTATTTTGGATTTGTTCATTTTTTACAATGACCATGGATGCTCACTGTTGAGGAATCCCATACTAGAACAAAACTGCCGTCCAGTGCTTCCAGGTTTACTGTGGTGGTCTAGCTTCAATTGACTCATGAATTCAACTATAAAATTACTGTAATCTCCACAAAAACCCTTTTGATAATAATGATTTTTTCGTTTTATTTTAATCACTTACAATAATTATATATGTTTGTAAATTAATGTATCTCGAGTATTTGTTTTATTGAAAATATTATTCTGTTGATGGTTTTAGTGTAATTAGTTAATCAAACGAATCTTTCGAACTAGAAATTATTATAAACAAAGCAATAGTAATGAAATGTATAAAACAAAATGATTTCAATCTTTGTCATATGTTATCATCCAACCTCAGTTACAACAAATATGGTTGGGTTCGAAATACTTGATTTAGTGGAGTTGAGATGCAATCTATAAACGAATTAGTTAGTCAAATTGTGAAGAAGAAGCATTACAAAATTAAGTGATATAGTTGGCACTGATAGATCTTAATATCTTCGCAACCTATTTACATAAATTCAGAGATGTAAGATCATAAATAATCATAGTAGGAATAAGTGATTAGATGATTGAGCAATATAATTAGGACAAAAGTTAACTTAATGTATTATTCACCAGTAACTGAATTAGGATGAAATTGTGTTTACCACGCTTTCATTCTTTTTACTGAAGTCAGGTCGAAAATATTTGACAACAATAGGCTATGAAAGGCTAAGTAAATGCGACATTTGTTGTTTCTTAATTATTTTGAAGTTCTTGGACAAATCTGTCTCGTGTCCGCTATCCTTTAAGTGACCGGGGATCGCACTTGCTAAGAATTTTCTTTTTTTTCCGCGCATAGGTTTTGAGCATGGTGTTCAGCAACCGTTGTAGGCACTTTCCTCTTAGTCCTTCCTATGTGCTTATTCTCACAAGTACATGTAAACTCGTAAAAGCACTTGAGGATGAGTTCATATAGAAATAAATCTAATTTTGATTGGTTTAATGAAGATTCGATGTTATGTATCAAAAACAATTGACCTGGAAAAAGTACCATTTGAGTCAGTTCTCTTTCAGATTTTTAAATATATTTTCACTAAGTGGAAGACTGATAAAGACCGGTTTTCCACTGGCTATTGTATATTAATGATTAGCAGGATAGATCTTTTTTATTTTGTTAGAAATTCCATAGGGTTATGGTTTCCAAAATGCTTTCATTTTACTACTAAATACAATTTTTTTTTATCATTTTGACTATGTTTCATCAACAACTTAATCTCGACTACTTGTTTTCGTATAGATATTTATGCTGTCAATTTATAATGTTCTCACTTATACTCAGACTTTAACATAAATTACCTTGATCTAAAGAAAACTAAGCATGAAACAGCTGAGGTACATATAAACACAGTAGGCAATACAATTGATCTCATCATTACAAATCTTTGGAATGTGCAAGAAGTGTACAGTGTTTAACAGTTTTCCTTGTTGTACTAATTTATACACATTCACTTCAGTAGCTTGATTTTCCATTGACTTCTAACATATGCTTGAATATCACTCGTACAACCATAGGATTCCTGTCAAACCATACCGTATCTTGTTCCTGATGAGTGACACCTAGGTCATCAATTTTTGTGTTTTTAGTTTGTCGAAAGCGAACTAAACTATTAGTGTTTTCAAGATATTCATTGTTTTATGTGTAGCCTCAACAATCTATTAGTCACAAGGTCGTACTTCTTTTCCCATCCAATCTTTACGTTGTGCACATAGCAATTATGTCTGCCATGTTTTATTCACCTGTCTTGTAATAGAACGGAAAAAAATCAAATCAATCAATAGCTTGACTCATTAGTTTAGTACTTGTATATAAACTTTGGACAAAGTAGTGCTTTCCTTTTAATTTCTTTATCTTTAGCGTTAGACACATATTTCTGATTATTGTCGTGCGTATAGTTTTATTTATACAACAATGCGTGGATTCATCCCACTCACCATGATGGTAAGTGGTGGACACATAACCATACAGACATATTCTGTGTTTATAAAGCAAATATGAAAAATATGCTTGCGACAAATTTCAGTTTTTTTCTCTACTCCTCCCATAATGTTTATATAAATGTTGAAAAATTCTGTGTTCATCAATTTGTCAACCACTACATTCTCTTTACTGTTGTCATTATTATCTTGATAGTTGTCTGCTAATGTCCGTTGGATATAAAGGGAAGAGTATAAACAGACAATGGAATATTATGGTCAAACTGTTTCACAATATCTTTCCAGTTCTTTGTGTTTTTACAAATCTAAAACTTATTCTTCATCTATTCTTTGCAGAAAATCAATCAGGCATCGTTAAGCGAATGATACCAAACACTATATCTCATGATGAAACTCAATTTATGAAGTACAGGTTTATATATATTCGTCTTTGTGTAACACTTTTTTGTAAGGGCTAGTGATAATACTGGACTACTTCTACTAAAATTAATGTAGATGTGTTCAAGTACACAAGCAATAGGACCAATACCATAATCCATTTAGCAAAATAAGAACTTTATTAGCGAACAGTTACTTACCATTTTTTAAGTGAAGTTTTTGATTCTACTGTATGGCTCATACAGTTTCTTACAGAAAAAGGCTTTCACATAAAATGCACATGTACCAACAAACACTGATCAAAATTCAGTCAAGAAAATCAATAACAGAATAATCCAAACCCCTTCTAGTCATGATATGAAGATTACACCCGTTCCACTCTTGACTGACTATCTGAACTAAGTAGCTCAATGGATAACTCATTGAGCGTTTGAAGCAAAAGGTTACTGGGTTCGAGTTCTAGTGTAAACACTCACTGTGGAATGCAGGTCTGACCAGCTGACTCGACCCAAATAAAACGAGACGCTCGTCACAGTTTCCTTTGTTAGACGCAGTCCAACTATTCTATAGAGCTTGTAGAATGGGCTGACATGGTTGTCTTTTCTTTAGCCCTAACCATAAATTTTGAAGCCATAACCATAAATATTGACGCAAATAATGGTCAACTTAATTACTATCAAAATATGTACTCAGTATGTCTGAATGCACTTTTTTCCCAAGTATATAGAAATTATGGCATTCTGAGAGAAAAGTTATCTCTGACTGTAACCATGTACGAACTCGGATCTAAACTAGTGATAATGTGATTACTAGAGGTCATTATCACTTAAACGGTAATCATTACACCAATTATCAGCTTTTATTTCCATCTTAAAACAACAATAATAACTGATTATATCATTCTTAATATTATGAATATTATTAGGTGATAGGTCTGAGGAGTACGCAGGGGGAAGCAATAAAAAGTTGTTCATCATGCAGTGGTGTGTGAATAATAAATTCAAACCACAGTTGTTTTAACGTTGTTCGATCCGTTTTTCTTTTAACTAACTGTACAACAACAGGAAAATATGCTTTTGTTTTTCTTTGTTTGAGTTTGTTTTCCCTCTTAGTAAAACAAGTGTCTGTTTTCTAATCTTGTTTTTAAACAAAAATTAATTTCTAGCTTGCTATGGAATATTGTGGTGCTGGATCAGTTGCTGATTTAATAAAAAGTGAGTAGATTTTTTTAAATTAGTTAAGACAAGAGTAGGAATAATAACTTGTATCTTGTCCATTATTGCTTTGTTATTTCAGTTCTCACCACAATTTCTTTTTATGATTAAACCAAAAGGAAAATAACGCAACGAAGACAAAGTTATCAGTATTAACAAAGAACTAGAAAAAAAGTAGACACAGACAAGAAACACATTTTACGAAAAGTAAGCTTATTGGTTGAGATAGTCTTCAAAATGCTAAGAAAGATATAGTACGATGAATTCATTTGGACCATGAGAACAAATTCTCTCAATCACTTCCGTAGCTTACGGTCTCTTATCTAACGTGGGTCAGCGGTTAACATTATGAACTGAACTAAAATCCTATTCTGTGATCTTCACTTTTTCCTAACCTTTTGATATTACAATCTGTCTATAAAGAGTTTGCTAGTTGACAGGTGTGCATGATACTAGTCAAAATCTTTTATTCTCTTGATGAGTTAATGGCTAACTTGAGTAGTGCTTCGAAGATACACATTATCAATCATTTGTAATGTGTGATTGTATTTACTTTCAGGAAATATGTTCCACACCTATAGAGTATAATGGTATTATGACAATGAAATATTGTTTTTAGCCGTACAATCAATTGATTACCTCAACAGTTATTGAAATTATCAGGTGACGATTCCCCATGAATGGTAAAATATTAATGTGTTACCGCGAAAACGAACTAACATCAGTACAACTAGTGTGAACAAGATAGATTTCTTTTTCCTCTGAAACGACACTTATGTACGAGATAATAGACAAAGAATAAACATATGAATAACAGTTACATAGAGTGAATATAGTGAAAAAGAGTTTAATGCAAAAATGATTGTATGTTACAAATTTTCCTAGTTATTCATCAGCCACTACAATTAACACTTGGCTTTCAAGTTTACCTTTCATCCGCTGTATCCGATAGCATGGACTGTTTGTCAGAGTAGTTTGCCTTTACTTGATATAAGCACATTTCAACTAAATGATTCATCAGTAATTTAAACTACCAAAACGTAAATTAATTCTGGAAGATCCAGCTTCGGCTATCATTCTGTCAGAGCTGTTATGATCATCTGGCTAATTTTTTTAAATCAAATGTACCAATGTATCGTATTTAACATTCTGCAAAACATTCATTGAGCCAATGAGAATTAATATAATATAGCCGTAAGCTATTTTTGGGGATGAACTACCTGTGGCAACTGTTTTTATCTCTGCTTCACAAGATTTTGTTCTTTATTGAAATGAAGAAATGTTAAGAAATAAAGATTGACATGATAATTCACTATATAAATCACCTAAGTTTCGTTACTGCTAAGTAGAATGGATGAATTATATTGGCGATGGATGTTTGAAGTAGACTATTTTCTTCTGTTTACATGTTAAAACAATCAATAGTTCTTCACACGACTGTTTCCTTCTTAATAATTAACTTTGACTCAGAAGACTTCTTTAAGAATAAACCAAAACCCATCTAGACTACTGCTTCACACCGTTGATTTTGAAATGACGATCTATTTTTATTTACTATTAATAAATGTTTTGCGAACGTTTGTGGTTGGAGGCAGTCAACAGTAAACCATCTACCTTTCCTGTTAGTTTGAACTCATTTGGAGTGGGTAACTGCAATTCGGAAGAACGTGATATACTCAGTGAGATTCGAACTCGCATCACGAAGCTACTAGTTTTATTAGTGAAGTTTACATTAGGTCGCTGCTCACTGTTGTAAATACTTGATTTTCATCCACTAATCAACCCATGTTGATATCACTTTACTCATCAAAATTTAAGCGGCTAACTACCAGTCTGCATATTTTTGGTGCTGTTAGTGGTGGTAGCCCTCAAATTTTCAGAAATGTTTTGACAATAATTTTGAAAATCCTGACTTCAGTCTTGTGTGACAGTTTTTTGAGTTCTAAATATTCTTCAATTGCATGAATCTTGGCCTTGCTTTGCCAATTCATGTCTTTGCATCTGAATCAAATCCCCCTTTTTTATCAGTGATACTACTCAGGTACATAAAGTCTTCCACCTCTTCCATAACTTTGTCTTATATATTCTCTTGTATAAATTTTCTTTTTTGTCAATATCGTCTTGCTGCATTAGTAGTGTTTATTTGTTTAAAAGTATTACTTAAGAAGGTTTTTGGTTTTAGTTCACATTATTCGTTTTTCAGACGAATCGTCGCCTTGTTATGACATTCTTTCCTCTACTGTTTTAGGTACTCGCACGAAATCACTCAAAGAAGATTGGATTGCTTATATTAGTCGAGAAATTCTCCGAGTAAGTAGATTATTCCTGTGGACTGATTGAATATGAATAGAACTTAACTACTGTCTTAGAGTATATATATAGTTCCTTATCAGTTTATTTATACAATATAACACAGCATTGTCTACCAGATAAACAATTGTTATTTTACAAATTAGAGGACAGAAAAAACATAGCTAAATAATAAATATCTTACTACATTATATGCTCAGGTTGCATCTTCTTTTCCACTTATATTAAATAGTGCATATATCAATAGTTATTATTTTCCAGGTTATTTATTTATTTTGGCCTACTGAAATATTATTGTAAGTTAAATTAACCCTCTAAATACCTTACTTGAAAGCATCCCAAAACTGATCATCCCATAAATCGATTTCTATTTTTCAAAACATTAAACTGTTTATCTATTCATTCATAATCTATGGATCATCATACTCATTAATTCTATGGAATTGTTTCATACTCCTTGTCGACAGAACCATATATATATATATATATATATATATATATCAGGAAGTTATCAGTAGGTACCTTGGATACTTTTAAACAACCGAAACGGATGCTGAGTAGAGGTGATTGTTCATCAAAAATCTTCCGGAGAATAATAACTGTGTCATCAAAAATAATGTCTCTAGACCTTTTCGGCAGAATAAAATTCATATATTTGGTGTTCACTTGTTCCCAACTTCCTGAGCAGAGCACGAACTGCTATACCACTGTCCAGATCAACCAATTCGGTTTTAAACCAATCTTCATATCTGTTGTGCCAGGCGTCGAATGTAATTTTTTTGGATCAGAAATAAAATCAGTAACTGACTTCAGTACTACATCAATTTTATTTGACGAATCACACAGAGAAGACAGAAAATCTGGAATTTCTTTTTTTCATTAGCTGGAAATATGTCTATATTGTTCAAAAAATTTCTTAGGTTCATTAACTGACATAGACATTTCTTTAATTATTTTTCCTCTGTCCATTTGTTATATCCGCGTCGTTTCTTACTTAAATTTAAAAATAAGAAACCTCTACAATTCCCGCGATACTAAGTAAGAACACAAAAGATTGGTACAACTAAAAATTGATTCCCTCCAAAACATAATAACCCTAGTCGAAAAAACATTGATTTATGTATTGATTTGCACAATCATTTGATTATTAAATACAAAACAGTCGCATATATGAAAAATGCTCTGAATTATAAGAAATCACATGTTGCCTATGTTGCTAAACAAAGTTTGCGTTAATTCAATATAAAGAATATGGTATCTTGAATAAACATCATACTGAAATATATCAATGTTATGTTGCATGACAATAAAATAAATATTACACTGAGTAATCATCATGTTAAATTAAGAACGGAAGTAATGTTGAACAAAAAGTCATAACGGGTCAAAAATGCAATTTTATCTTCCTATTGCGTCATATCAATATTAAACTTTCTATATATATAAGAATATTATATTCAATTTGTATATGTTGAATAGTGAATGTGACTTACACTTTAACAAGTCAGTTAGTTACAACATAGAACCTGGTACGTACACACATCGATTCAAGTTGTCAACACCGCATTAGTATAGTGAGATGAAATTGTCAGATCTAATTCCAGATTAGAAGAGATAGTAACAGTTGGAGTGGTAGTAGGAAAAATTAGGCATTAAAGATACGACTCGAAAAGAAAATATAAATTAGTGAAATATAAACAAGAAGTTGTGGGGAATTCAGCAGATGCACCTGCACCATTGCAAACAATTTTGAATCATGTCATTCGAAGTTTCTAACCATTAGTAACGATAACCACATAGACCCCAACTACGTAGTCTACACCTATTAAGATGATTCAATTCAATTGTCAGAGTCTTCATGGACTTGTGCTTTGTTTTGGTTTGACCGCCTCCCTAACCTTCTTCCAGCTTACTCCTACACCAGACAACATTGATATTCGAGGTAGGTGGTGGCTGAGCATAGGTGGCACATGTTCCAATCACCTTAGTTGATGAAGATTCATGATACCCTAACAAGGTCCAAACCACTATTAAAAGATTAATATATATTCGAACTCAATATACATCTTAAGTTGTTCTGTTTTATTGTTGAAATTTCAATATTTTTATTATGGGTATGATTAAGTTGGGAGTAGCAACATTTTAAAAAAAATCAGCAAATGATGAATTCATTTTTGTATTGAAAATTTGTTGTCTCTTTCCGTAAGACAAATTTTAAGTGCTTTCCTTAACACGAAAACAATCCATCTTGTTAAACTAAGTTTACAAGACAGTTTTTAATGACTGATGAGAAAAGACGTTTGATTAAAAATTCATTGAGAATGAAATTATTTGACAGAGATTTATTCATATAGTAATCTTTGTTTATGAAATGATTAAACAATTAGTCTAAATATGAACATAAGTTGAGAATTAGATGGAAATAAATATCGTTTGTAGAAATGCGAAATTCACTTCCATGATTGCATAAAATTGATCAATACTATTTGGTTTCCAGTGTCCTCTTAACTTTATTATTTGTTTTTTTCAAAACAAAACCAATTGTATTCTGTGATAGTATTGATTTAAATTATACAATCATAAGGTGTACACTCACACAGTGATAAATTGTATATTTAGAGAAATATTTTGGTCTATATAGAATAGCATGGGAACCTTATAAATGCAAGATTTATCTCTTAATTTTTCTAGACGTCATACCTAGATTCTAGGTGTGATTAGTATGTTATATATTTACCTTTATAATGTTCAAGTAATGTTGAATTCAGTTTGCTTATGAAAACTGTCGCTTAAACTATAAGTTTATTTGTTTATTTGTCTGGTTAAAACAATTAAAAGTTTATTTGAAACCCTTTTATTGTCTGTCTAAAGATATGTAAACTACATTAATAGTTTGTTGTTCATAATATTTATCGCAACATTCAATTTAATCCGTACTATTTTCTACTCCCATGAATTAATTACTAACTGTAAATAGCCAACCTGCATCTGGACGTCTAACAATAATAGCATTAGATTGAGATGAGGTTCTCTCCCTCCTAATGTAAAACGTAATTTCAGGTTTGGCTTGAGTCATTACCTGAATTAATGATCGGAAGTGAAGTGGTTGAGCTCATCGACTGCTCCACTTATCTTAAGAGTCTAACCAGTTTTGATGGTCTGGCGTCTGTTGAAATCTCGGTACGGATTTAGAAGGCTCGATTGGCTTATACCAAGTTGCATCATTTGTAGCGTAGGTGAAATACCCATCTTCCAAAAAGAGAACGAGTTTACTGCGTGGCAGTTTGCTCCGCTATAATTCATGGATATCAAACATAGCAATTAAAAATAGAAGCTATTTTTAGGTTTTTGATGTTCGGTCATAGGTATTTTCGAAGTATTGGTCGTGTATTTTAGGACCACTGTGTGAACAATTCCTGGGTTAGGAATAGAATGCTAGGTAAATATAGTAAATCGATTGATGAGGTAGTAAATCTTCATCAACTGAGATGATTGGAACATGTGCCACCTATGCTCAGCCACCACCTACCTCGAATATCAATGTTGTCTGGTGTAGGAGTAAGCTGGAAGAAGGTTAGGGAGGCGGTCAAACCAAAACAAAGCACAAGTCCATGAAGACTCTGACAATTGAATTGAATCATCTTAATAGGTGTAGACTACGTAGTTGGGGTCTATGTGGTTATCGTTACTAATGGTTAGAAACTTCGAATGACATGATTCAAAATTGTTTGCAATGGTGCAGGTGCATCTGCTGAATTCCCCACAACTTCTTGTTTATATTTCACTAATTTATATTTTCTTTTCGAGTCGTATCTTTAATGCCTAATTTTTCCTACTACCACTCCAACTGTTACTATCTCTTCTAATCTGGAATTAGATCTGACAATTTCATCTCACTATACTAATGCGGTGTTGACAACTTGAATCGATGTGTGTACGTACCAGGTTCTATGTTGTAACTAACTGACTAAATATAACATATAGTATTCAAAATCTCAATAGCTTTCCTGAGAAAGAATATCGATAGAATACGATTTGTTGGGCTATCTGTTTTTGCATCATGGGTTGCTATTTCATTTCACTGGCGAAACACTTACATGTGATAGTTAGTAATTAGATGTTGTCTATTCAGTTAATTATAGAAGGGGTTTTGTGGAGATTTAGTATTTATTATAGTTGAATCTCGCGAGAGCGGGTTCGTGGATGCACACTGCCGAGGAGTCCCATAATAGGACGAAACGGCCATCCAGTGTTTGCAGGTTTTCCATGGTGGTCTAGCTTCAATTGACTCACGCTTTCAACTATTCAGTTAATGGTGAGTTTGAAAATAAATGAGACTTGTATTCAAAAATCTTATTTTTTTAAACTTTGAATTTGTTATGAGTCAATAATTTTTTTTTTCATTTTTAAATTTTTGGAATAAAAATTCTTTAGCTGACACGATAATTTATTCAAATATTATGACCTATATCTGAAAGGTCATTGTTTTTTATTTTTGATAACCTTGTTTGGTTCATAATTTTGTTTCTTCCTCCACGTACATTCCATTCCTTTTCTTGAAATATATTTGTTTTAAATATAATTTACTTTCCTTCCTAGGGTCTTATGCATTTACATGCTAATCGTGTGATTCATCGAGACATTAAAGGTCAAAATGTATTGCTCACTGATAATGCTGAGGTGAAACTTGGTAAGTTCACTATTATAATCAATGTTTTATCGTCATCATCATCACTGTTGCCGTTTTGGTTGTTGGTTGTGTTTATACATTTTATATTCTTTAAGGGATATATAATATAATATGTACATAATATTTCAACATACCAAATAAATTTACATAAAAGAAAACGTTCACCTACCCTAACCTATTCGAATTTCCCTTGAATTATACTATAACTGATATGTAGTGGTTTTCCTATCCACTAACATTGTTCCTGGATTTTAAGGTAGTAAGTATTTCATAAAACTTCAGTCACTAAAAATAATATTGTTATTAGCTTCTTCTATCTTGATGTGATGATCGTGCCTCGATATTGTGATGGTGACCCAGTCAAACTACTTTAGCTGGAACATTTGTTCCTTAATGTCCTACCACACTAGACAGGTTGGTCAGAGTAGGAAAACTAAAAACAACAAACTGCTAGCCGACTGTAAGTGGCTGTGAATGCAATAAAGTAGCACGCTCAAATATCTATCAGTTTCAGTTATGCTACCTTTACAAAAAGTAAGAGGGGAGGTTGGTGAAGATTGATTCTGAAAATAGCTTATCTCACTTTGCCTCAGATTTACATAGTCGGTAGTAAAGCATTGAAAATAAAGAGCTAACTCATCCATAACTACTTACGAAGAGGTTGTATGTAGCCGGTCTGAAGCAGTTACCCCTTGGACACTAAGATCACGTTCCCGGGTATTCAAGACCACATCTAACTCATTTTGCTTTTCAGATACTTCAATAAAAAGTATCCTTTCATGGCGTAAAGGGAAGTGAGAGGAACTCCCTGAACTGAAAGATGTTTTCCTGGTTGTGTTTTTAACTGAACTTTCTCTCTTTTACATTATTCTCATTCACCTGTTTTCTTACTCATTTATTCGTTGAGATTGTATTCTCCGCCTTTCTTTACTTCGTCACAGTTTCATTCTTTTTATGAGATGCATACTTATTTTGGTACTCAGTTGTATCGATATTAATGTATTTTCAATGAATAAGTCCATGTTACAAAAGTAGCTGTACAACCATATTAGAATTAAAACATATAGATTCTAGTTTAAGCCAATGATTAGGGAACATATGGGATTTCTAAAGCTAAAAGTCACCTCTTTAAACCTTTCTAGTTGATTTTGTTGACCACTTCATATCACTGAGTGTTATGCAACAGGTTTGCTTTATAACCTAGTGTCTGACCCCATACTTTCTATTGTTATTGTAAATATTGTCTTTTTTACAATATGTTACTGATATAACGTGTATTATAATTAGAGTTATCGTTTTTGTTAGATTGTATTATGGTTTGTGCTTTATGAAACTAAATTACATGAGACATTTGTGTTAAATTTATTTGTTTAGTCTTAGTTATTAGTAGTTATCGAACAACAAATAAAAGCAAGACATTATTGAAAATTTTGTGACTTACACATTTACCAATAAGAGCATGACGTATCCGAATCTAAATAAATAAGTTTCATAATGTATTGATTTTTGGTTAGAACTGACTAACAAACAACAATGATTTATCAGTTTTACTTCGCATCACATGAAGTTATATAATACTAAGCGAAAGACATGCCTAAAGCTGGAATTTTCGTTTTGAAATATTTTTAAGCAAATATCTAAAGGTAACTACATTGTTTTATCTTATTATTAGGAAACAACTTATTCTTATTTCCTTCTGACGTTTACCAGTTTAGGAACTTTAAATTACGAATATACATAACTCTATGAATCCTATATTGACTGCTTACCAGACTATTAGTGTATTATGATTTAATATCATAAAGGGGTTTTCAGTGATGCCCAAGAGATGTAAATTTAAAAATTTATCCTTGACTATTAAACTATTTATTGTCAGAGGTATCAACTCATTGCTTATAAGGCATTTTTAACCAAGCAGATTCGGCTTACGATTGACCTTTTTGAACCACTTTTCTACTCTTATCCAATAGAAGTCACTAGGTTACGACTATGTTTTTGGTAGTCGAATTATAATTTATCAACGGTACTGGGAATGGTTAAACAATATTTTTTAAAATTCTTAGTTCCTAATCATTTTCATTACGCAATATTTGTTAAATTATGGCTTCGTATTATGTTGATATTCTCTCTTATTTTTCGTGTTCATCCTTTTGATTGTCACTTACAGTTCTCATTTTGAAACTTGTCACGATCGGTAGATTTTGTATTTAACCATCTACGGCGTTTTTCTAAAAATAGCATATACTGGTAATTACCAGTTGCTGTATTTATGATATCTCTTACCGTATCTCTATTACTGGTTTGTTGAGTTGATGTGTAATACCATCGTATACAGGGGAAACTCAAAAAAATCTTCACATTGTTCATATTTGATAATAAACTAGGTGATTTACTTATCTGCATATGTATATGTAACGACTTTCGTTGTATTTTAGTTCCAGACTCCCATTGATTGACACTGTGTTACCTTTAACTGAACCATGTAAATATGTGCAGATTACCTGACTGGGGTCCACGTGATTTTCATAGCCAATCATTAGATATCATTAATACTGTTACTACCTCTGCCACTCTGGAATTTACCCCCTTCCTAGACATTTTAAAATTGCAAAAGTTAATAAATTCTAGGTTGGTTTCGTGTGTTTGTACCGTATGTGTAACTCAGTGATTCAAATAAAAATAAGTCTCAGTAATCAGTCATAAGAGCGATTATTTAGCGTGACATTCAATCTAATGGTACTGTCTAACTCTCCGAGTTTATTTTACTATTGGTGATACACAGCTTATGTCTTTGATTTCTTAGTATTTAAAAGACAATTGGCCGAGTTAATTAATTCATATTATTATTTTATTACTGTAGAGATTTCTTCAGGTTAAGTAATTTAATTGTTACACATATTAACCAATAATTAACGACTTATCATAATCAAAATAAACGGGATTGAGTTCAAATATGTTATTAGGTAATCAGGTGACATGTGGTTATGTCATTGAACAGTAGCTTTCATGTCATTACTTGTTTGGGTACATCGAAAGTAATTTTTTTATTCAATATCTATCAACTATGCTACTGATAAATTTCTGTTCAGTGTCATACTTAAAGTTTCTGTTGTTGTTAACAGTTCTAATTGTGATACTAATTATGTTTTTATGAAAATAGATTACATCAGTTTGTGACTCTTCCGTGTTTTTTCTCTTCATTTCTATTCCTGTTGCCATTATATTTAGTCGATTTTGGAGTAAGTGCACAATTGGACAAAACATTTGGTAAACGGAATACATTTATTGGAACCCCGTACTGGTAAGCTGGTTTTTTTCTAAGTTTAAAAAATAATCATGATACTTGAGAATTTAATTGTTAGTATTTCATAACCATAGTCCTTTAGACATAGGATATGTCAATCCCTCAGTGTTATTAACACACAATCATTGTATTACATGTAACCCTGTCTTCGTTACCTAGATCTCATAACTTCAAAATAGTGTTTCAAGATATACCATTGAGAACTGTATTACTACCAGTTCGTGACTTGTTAATTATCCAGTAAATGTTTATAATAAATTGGAAATAATACAATCCATTATTTATCTGGAATAAAATTGAATGTTATGGTCAGTTTATGATGATAGACAGGATTATGTAGTTTTTCTCAAGTATATCATGTGTTACGAATTTTAAACCAAGCTGTAATAAATATTTACACCATCCAAGTGTTGTTATTCTTTCAATTATATACACTTAATACTACAGTTATCTGGGATAAAACACTTTAAAACGGTTCGTGTTACAAAACGACTATAGTTATTTAATTGATATTACTGTAGTAGATTGCTCATGTAAAATACATTAGTTACTAAGTAGGCAATGTTCAGTTTAAGCTTTAGATTGAATAGTGAAAGCACTCAGCATTTAAACATTGGATAGATCTGATTTGAAATTCTCAATACCTATTTCGGTCTAGGAGGTCGAGTGTGTTGACCTGTACTTGATAATCTTCATTAAATTTCTTATTCACGCCTTAAGTTTATGATAAATATGAATAAATTACTCGTATATATTTTCGAGCCTGAATCCACTGAGACGTTTGCATCATATGTTTGTCATCTTTCTCACCTAAACTAAGCTATTAGCTTGAAAGGAATACAATAAAAATGAAAAAATATCTCAAGTTCATGATATTAGGTAATAAACTATTTCATCCAGTAAGTCGTTTTTGATTTAAGTTGTACATGTTAAGTGGTTCGAGACAATCAGCAGTTAGTGTCAGTTATTTGTCAATGATCACCAAGATTTACCTGGAACTATTGCATTACGACTATTCAAATCGGTGTTATTCGACCTGAATAACAAAGATTTTGATGCTACTCAACTTTCTTAATCGTGATTAATCTCTGCCAAATCTTTTGTATTACTTAACTTTCCATTTTCCCATGTCTCTTCGTGTACTTTATTAAAATGTTTCCATTTTACTGACTGTTGTTTTGAATGATTTTTCGATATCTTAATCTTTGTTCTATTAGACTGTGATAAGTTATTCCCACTAGCGTGTGTAGAAAATCACATCAGTGTTTATCATCATAATTTTATTTAGTTATCTCATGTATACAACGTTTTTCGTAAAATAATACCTTGTTCCTTGTAGTATGAATAACATGCATTACTACTTAATGACTTTCCACTAGTTCTACTATTATGCTGTTAAAAGCATCAATTATTTCATAGTCTCATGCTTTTTATTTCATTTTTTTCTGCTTAGTAGAATATTTTCTTTCTAATTTATGTAACTGAATTAAGTGCACAGAATTTTCATCATATTATGTTGATTCTATCAACTATAAGTGTTCATTCTACAAAAGAGATCACGCGTTATTTAAGTTTTGTCAGTAGACGCAATAATCCTGTGTACAATTTTTCTGATTTACATTTTCTCATAACCCTTTTTTTCTGATTGGCTGTTACTACCTTTTGTTCGCTGACTTTCTGTGCTTGAAGATAATGTTTTTGTCACTACATATACAGAGTTGTACTATTCCACTTTCTCCCTGGATTCCCCCAGTTTCAGATTATTGTGGAAGGTTTTCCTTCCAGAGTAAACAACGAAGAATATCAAACAATCATTTACTTATTTCTTTGTTTTTACTTAACATTTACACATATATGCATACATAAAGATATTTCTCCAGTTAATACATCTATTTCATGAAGAGAAACATTCAGTTGGATTGGTTTCTTGTTTTTTGCTCATCATATTTCGCAATATAAAACTATTTTCGGTCTATAGTTTATTCGATAAACATAATTTTTCCCCTTGTTTATGTGAGAATGAGAGTTGTTTTGTGCGAACTTTTGAAAACCTTATATTGCAAATATTTATTTATGCTGAATAGCATCTTATAGTTCTCCTGGTTCTCATAAATATCGAGTGGAAGTTGAACATTGGCATGTGTTTTGGTCTATGTAATCTGGACAGAAAATCAGTCCCTGTAAATCTGTTAACAGGTGCTGCTACCTCGAAAATAACATTGATAACTTTGTTATATTGAATATTTCTGACTTTCACTTATGTACTTCTACCAAATACAGAGAACATAGAAACATTATCTCAGTCAAAGTATTCCCAGAATGGAAATAAGTTTCCATATGGTTTGTTAATATTGTCTGAACATACGAAACACCATTCATTTAGAAGTTTTAAATATCTTATTTATATACTTCAGCCTCTTCATCCGTAAAGATTCAGAATTTTTATGACTGACAATATTCTATTTCAGTAATTATCATTATGACCGCTTTAATATGATTTGTTTTGTACTATGTTTTTCTCGATTCATTTTTTTATTGGTTGTTCGAGTCCCAGAGTAAACATCAATACTGAGATGCAGATACATCCAGCTAACGAGTCCCAAATAAAACGAAACGCTCGTTCTAGATACCACTGCTAGCCGCCATCCATCTCTGCTTATTCTGTCTTCTAGGTTTTGATTTTATCTGTCTCGTAGCATAACCTACCATGTTGTGACGCCACCTAGAAAATTGTTTTTTTCAATACAGTTGTCAAAATCATCTCTCATGGTGATGGTCAGTTGTAAACTGTGTTATTATACATGTCTAACCAATTCGACTGAAATTCGGCTCACAGCCATGTCAATTAATATATCTATTTTGTACCTGGAACTTTACATATCACTGGAAAATCTATGGTTTCGCTAAGTGTTATCGATACTTCTAATGTGTAATAATGATGTAAAATCTGTGTATCCGGTTACATCCCCAATCGATATATACCTGCATTAAACATTACTTTGACCTAATAGATTACTTTAAATGTCATTTCATATATTCATATTATTCAAAGCCTATATGACATTTAATTTGAGATTATTCAACATTTTAATAATATGCTTTGTTTTCTTAAGAATTTGAAAACTGATAGTTTTTGTGAATCCCGTTATTTTTTTCATCAATAAATCTAATATATCGCAGACTGGCTATATATATATATACTGTTTCTATGCTTTTAATCCTCTGTTTTTTTCTTTATGTGTCAATTATTAACAACCAAGAAAAGTGTCTTTTTCACTCTCAGTCCCCATTTTGTTTATACATTTTCATTTCAGCAATTTGAAATCCTATTGGTCAAATTTTGTCATGACCTAACTTTAATTACATCTGTTGACCAGATTCTTTACAAGTATCTTATCTGTAATTCATTATAATATAATAAATTGGAAGACCGCACTAAGTTTATCTATTTACAAGGAATAAATTGGCTATTGACTTTAGGTGCTTTGTCTCGAAAAAAATTCGGAAGGAAGTGTTGAAGTGAAATATGAATATAAACTAGACAGTCTAAGTAACAAGTATAGGGAAGCAGTTGAAAAATTGGATAATCAGAGTTTTTTTTAACAAAACTATAAATATATTTACTTTCTAATTAGATTTACTACCATTACGGGTTAATGCACTGATATGATACAATATGAAATCAGCGTCTTTCTCTGAAACGTTTTTAGTGAGATTGTAATATGTAAAAGCGTTTAAGTGATTTGAATATTTGATTTCCAACAACTTTCTCATGGGTCGGAGAATTACGTCATCGACTTCAATTTAAAAAAATCAGGTAACTTTACTATTCACTTGATAAGCTTAGTACAAGAATCTATACTTAGTTAATGTTAGTACTAACTGAGATGATAAACTTAATTATATAATCAAAGTATAGTGTGTCGCAGTTGTATTGTTACAACACTGTTGCGACAGTAGCATAGTTTCAGCAAGAAATATAATGGTTACGGTAGTGTATTTTGATAATGTTTCTCTATCCTTATACATGATTTTATGATTATCCTTCACCACCTACTTACTTGTATCTGTTACCCTTCGTGGAGGAACATAGACCATCCACCAACATTCTTCAACTAATTCTGTCCTGGGCAATCCTTCCTAGTTGCTATTAATCCTTTTCATGTCTGCTTCCAATTGTCGACGCGGTATATTCTCTGATCTTCCTCTTTTCTGTTTCTCTTCAGGATCCCAAGTTAGCACTTGCTTCGTGATGTAGTTTGGTGATTTCCTTAATGTATGTCCGATCCACTTCCAACGTCTTTTCCTAATTTCCTCTTCAGCTGGAAGCTGATTTGTCCTCTCCTATAAAACACTGTTGCTGATGGTATCCGGCCAACGGACATTGAGTATCTTGCGTAAAATATTGTTCATAAATACTTGTGCTTTTCTGGTGATGGTTGTAGTAGTTCTCCAAGTTTCAGCTCCGTACAGTAGAACTGTCTTGACGTTCGTATTGAAGATACTGACTCCTTTTATTAAATTACCAAATGTTGAAGTGATACACCGTTATACTAAAGTGTTTATTAGTTAGGTCACGGAAAGACAGTAGTTAAGGACTATCGTGTGATTGCGCTAGAAATAGTTAACTCGTGAAATAGAGCTGTTACTAATTACTAATCAATATCATTAACTTGATTTTTACTCCTGTTTTGCCTAATTAATCAAAATATTCTATTTTGAAGGCTTGCTCAAATGAATGATTTTTCCTAATGATATGGTGCATTTACAATCGCTATTGCATTATTATTACACTCCATTGCAAGTTTTCTTTTTTTGGAATTTATAGGATGGCTCCTGAAGTGATTCATTGCGAACAAGACTCAAGTTGTACATATGATGCTCGTTCAGATATCTGGTCATTGGGTATAACAGCTTTAGAAATGGCTGAAGGTCGACCACCATTATGTGAAATGCATCCAATGCGTGCACTTTTCTTAATTATGCGTAACTCACCACCTCGATTAAAACAATCACCGAACGGATCTAGACACTGGACACCAAGATTTCATGATTTTGTCAATAAATGTTTAACTAAGGACTTCCATAAACGTCCGAATACATCAGAATTATTTCGACATGAATTCATTACAAATTTACCAAATGAACGACAAATTAGAATTCAACTTAAAGATCATATAGATAGACATAGACGAAATAGGCAAAGTAAATTAATTAATTTTTCGTTACTTATTATGAATTTTTCAAAATGACACTATTCTATATCTTATTACAATGTTTTTACTTCACATCAGTCACTACAGGATTAATGACATTTTTATAGCTTTAAAAGACTGAATGCATTGTGACAACAACATAATACATGATACAATAGAACAAGTCCTACATAAAATTATATGTAGGTCAGCTATTAAATTTTTAGTGTTATGATTAAGTGCACTATTTTGATATCTTCACTATTCATTTATAGATCCGAATGTTATAAGTGATATCTTTAAGAAAGACCAATTTGTTGAGAAAATATTTTTTGAAACATTATTTGAGAAAGTTATATTTGTTTACGATATCTTGAACATATGTGCTAGTGAATTTAAAGTGGCTGGAATATCGATAAGTTGAGTCAAAGCTATCATAGTGATAAGTTCTACTCAAGTAAGTTCATTTAGGATAAAAGTCTCTACAAGTCTGTCATCAACCGAACTACACAGTTCTATTGACGCTAGGATGCAGGTCCGTATCCCATCGGGGATCATTAGTTCCCTCATTATTACAGATATTCTTCGCTTCCTATTGTCTTCAACCATTATTTACGCCTAGGAGCTTGGATTCTTTAAATATAATTCGTTACATTCCTATACATATCTCCTTAAACGGTTATTTATCCATATATATAATATTGTTGGAAAGTTAATGAAACTTGGAATCTGTAGAAAAAGAATGACCGTTTATCTATCGAATAAAACTCCAACACTTTCGTAGAAATAGATTATAAATCAACGTACACATTCCCATGACATAAGAAAATTATATCAAGGATAAATTAGCGGGTTTTTTCCAATGAAGACATTTCCAAATATTAAAATTATCGGGTTTAAAAGTCTTAGTTTATTATGATTACATTAAGTAGGTGAAGGACAATCGAAATGAAATAACTTATGGTCGGTCATATCGTACAATAAAGTCTATATTTTGTACTTTATTTTGTAAACGAAATAACGCTATTATTCCTTTATTATACGGTTACAAACGAGTGAATTACTTGTAGTTCTGAAAAACAAAGCATCTGTAAATTTCTATTTAAGTAGATAATAAAATTCATTTCGACAATTCTTGATCATTTTGATTGATACTGATTGCCGAGTAATTATTCGACTGAAGTAGTTAAAACATGGGTTATGTATACCTGATCACTCACACTAAGACATGACACCAATCTATGGAGTCATTGACAGTTAGTCTATGTCATGTTATTTGATGCTGACTACTTAATGTAGTACTATTTTGTGTGACTCTCCACAATGACGTTTGTGTCTATTTTAACTCGTGTGGTTCAACACTACGATTAGCGACTTTATTACTCGACTGTTCGGAATACATCTAACTGAGTTTTTTAAACTGAATGGTTACGAAATAATGGTCATTTTTGTAATATCTAGTTGTTAGTGCCGACTAAATTCTATGAATTAAGTTTGTTTTGCGACTATTTATCTAAGTGGCATAAATAAGAATAGTGAGATATTTACTTGAATGGCGAGCAAATACCACAGTTTCCTGTCAGTCTTTCTTCGTGTTTACGAAGTTTCGTTTCCTATAAAAGTTATCTTTAAGTGAATCAAAGTTAAGTATTTTTTCTGATTTTTATTTTCTTCAATTGATCAATCCTATATGGTGATACAGCGAGTTAAGTAATATTTGAAGCAAATGAGAACGTATGTGCAGTATTTTTATGGCACTGGCTTCTTGATACAGAATTATTTCAAAGTTTAGAAAATTAACATCCGTCAAGTAGTGAGGCAAGATTACCGCTAGGAATGAACTCAGAATAACCGCAACGAATTTTCATCCAGTTTCTAGTCAGTCAGAAAGTTTATGTAAAGGAAAACAATGACATTACAAATTGCAAACTTATTTTATATATTTGATGAATCTACTCTAGCTGTAAATTGAAAAAAAACTACTTGTAAAATACCCATTTTCTCGAATTTTTATGAGAACCCAAGTGGATTTTTTAGATACTTAACATTGTTTTTGGTTAGGGTTAGGTCTATATAGTAAGAATCAGGGGTTTAAGATCGGAATCTTCATCTCCAGCTGATGTCAGATATAATTCAGAAATGCTCTGTAGTTAGACAGTCGAGTGGTTTACGTGCAAAAGTACAAGAGGCACTATAAATCTAAAATATAATGTCAGCAGGTCAAGGGTCGTTTTATGGTCAGAGCATTCGAGGATTGTGCCAGTTCTCTGTTTTATACTATCTACAGAGACAGGATTGTTCATTTTATGCGTTCAACACTAACATCTTTCTATGATGCCAAAAAATAATTTTTCGCTATCATTTTAAACATTTTGAGCACTGTACGGAGATATTTTGATTACTATAATAGTTGATATTTTGATTTCGCACAAAATTCTAAAGACCGCGTTTTTTATTCTGATTTGCTTATTATACTACACTTTTACCAAATCTACTGACTCTATCATGTAAAATCACCAACAAACAGTTATTCACTTGTGTGTGTGGAGTAAATTTTTTGCACTATCATTATAATCATGTTCTACTTTTGTATTTATTGTATCAGCTGAAGAACATGAAAAAATTTATGAATACGAAGGAAGTGATGAAGAGGAGGAAGAAGAAACCAGTGCAGCTGTTAAAGGGGCTGCTGCCGCTGCTTTAGCTATGTCAGCTGCTGTTAGTGGCAATGGTCAATCACATCGTCTACCTAGTCAAATTAGTCATCCTCCTCCTCAATTTCGTCAACCAACAGATAAACCTCACCATAATCAAGCGCTTCGAACTAGTGGAGTTCCTGATCAAAACGAAGTAGCTTCGTTTGTTTCAAAACCATCTGTATCTGGATTAAACTATAGACACCATGGACATATGATACAAGGTGGGAATATTGCAAATGATAATGTACCAGCGAATGCTCGATTTATCTCACGAAATCCTATGTCAGTGCTTAATAAGTTACCTGCTGTTACCCCACAATCAATGATGCCGCATAATAGTCGGTTGCCAAGGTTAGATGAAGGTGAATCAGCAACTGTCAATGCTAAAGAACCAGGTGAAAATACACTTCGTCAAAATTTTGCTCGTTTACAGGTAAGTTGTTTGCTTTGTGTTTGGTTCAAAAGTGTTCATGTGCTTTTGGTATGATTTGTATGGAAGTAGTTCTTTTCTTTTGACAACGCTTAAAAGTTAACTTTTGTTTAGGTTATTTATATTTGCAATTTTTTCTCATGTATGCACATCATGCCTGCATAACACGTAGTAGTAAGACAATTATGTGTGATAGCTTTTAATCTTCGTTTTAATATTTGTGGGTAACACAACTCACAATCCTACGATTGAATAACATAGAAATTGTCAAGTCTTAAGATTAAGTCATGAAGACATGATATGTGCCACCTATTTATTCTTTTCTTTAAATAGTATAAGTATTTTAATAAAAATGTGACATTTACATCGAAGCAAACTCGTGATGAATGAAATATTTACGGAGTAACTGATGAAAAGGTGATTTCTTTGTCATCTCTACATCAGATATAAAACTATTCGGAATTCAAGTCCTCAAAACTCATTAATAAGTGAGCTTTTGTTAGTTGTTGTTTTAATGATTTTTATAGGATTTTGTAGTTTTTGAAATTTATTCAATATTTCCTAATCCTATAAATACGAAAATGATAAGTTAGATATACTGATCGGTTGAACTTTATAAGTATCAGTTATTATCGAGTTTTTGGAGGATGAAGTATGGATGCTGTCAATTCTGTCTAAAAGTTCAATGACAGCTTCATTGAGTTCAGAAAACCCAACACTTGAAAATATCTATTGTGAAAGGAATATTGTTATGACTTGAGATTTATCTCTCAGATTTCTTTTATGAATGTATATTGGTTTATTTGTCGTGAATTCACCTCATGGTATCACGAAAGACATGATCATTTAACCTTTTTTGATCTATAAAACAGTTGACCAGTAAATATCTATATTCACGAGGAGCTTTTCACGAATTTACCGTAGGTACGTATCTGTCATTCAAAAACTAATTTTATGGTTCCCATACAAATTTAGAAAGAGTGGATTGGGAAAAGAATTTTCCCCTGCTGTGTAGTAAATAAATATTAGGAGAGTTATCAATTGACAATATGTTCACATATTTGTCAAAAAACTTTAACATTTTAAACCCCAAAACTTTTTCAATCTATGGTTCTTAATTATATTTCAGTAGGAAATTTATAAAGCTAGATCTAAGTTTAGTTTATGTTAAATCGAGATCTAATAGTCGGACTATGAATCCGTTGTGAACAGTAATAATGATTTATTGACCAGTCTCTACCGAATATTTTTTTAAAAACTTTCATAACTTGAGTCGGAAATTTGATCGGCGATAACCAAATAAAGCTGAATAGAGTTAAAATTGTTTTTAGAATTATGAGATTAATCAGTATACCTTACGTCAATATAACATTAATTGCTTTGTTAGATGCTCATGATCAAATTACTTGGGAACGTTACTGTATTAAAAATACACATTCGCTTATACTGAAAGAGATAAGGAAACATTTTATTAAGATAACATATTCGTGACTTTGCTGTCTACATAGTTGTGTTCTATTGTTATCAAGCGATGTTTCTATTGTAAAAATACTTTGTATCCGTGTATTTTTGGATACAATAAACTTGTTGATAATTACATCTGAATGAAATGATGTGATTTCTCCACCAACTTAGTTAAATTTATACTATACAGTTTCTCTGTGGTTAGAGGATAATTAGATATCTAATTGTTGCCCTGATATATATATATATATATATATATATGTAAGTGAATAGAGTTTGTTTTATATAATGATTGTCGTTAGCCAATGCATATTTTAGCAATTAACTTTTATTCCGATTGTTAGTATAAACAGAAATGATTTGCTTCTGAATGGACTCAGATATTTCTTTTTTTGCGTAATAACATTATCCAGTTCGTAGCTCATTTTATATCGTTAATCAATAGAAATATAAAAAAATAATGTATCCATTTGTTGATTAGATTGTATTTATATTGTACAGAAAAATAACTGTTCAACAAACTGGGGTTCGAGATTGTTCTTTTTTGTGCGAATTCGAACTACACGAGCTTTCTTCCTACCCCTTCAGCTAAGTGAAAAAAGCCGTATGTCAGTGCTTAATTTGAGCGTAATACTATTGAATACGGTTTCTAGTCAAGTGGGTTATGACGTCAATATTCTAGAAGATAGAATGAACACCCAGAAATTTCCTTTCTTCAAACACAATTCAACAATGAAAGTTAAATGCTCTCGTGACAAATAATCGTTGTGGCCGAAAAACCTAATGAGTGTTTACATAAAATAATGAGTGAATAACTGATTACTCTGTTAGTAGTTATTCACAGTTATGTTTACGTTCTGTGTATCCCTCTTGTTTCGATAATACCGTGGTGTTCAATATTTTGTTTATTTGAAGGTAATTAGTAATATATTCAATAAAATAAATAGTTTAAGATTGTAATATAAAAAGTATTCGATTATTGGATCGTTCTATTTTTGGAGAAACAACATTGTCTAGATGAATAATACAACTATTCAATTCATGGATTTCAAGACCAATTCACTTTGTTCTCCCTTAAGAATTACTATAACAGCTCAAGTTAGAAAGGTGTGGATGGGGGACGCGGAGATTTTTAATAGTTAATCAATAGATTTTTCTGTGTGTTTTTCTTGTTATTAATGCTCCTATGAAATCGTTGCAATGAATGACGATTTAGATCATAGATGAATCTTGCATATGTGTTTATCTATTGGTTTATTTTGTCTTTTGTAAATATTTGCAATCGTATTGCATATTGCTTTTGAAATACACAAGTCTGTTTTTATCACATAACACACACACACATTATTTATACTAATGCATATATTGTATATAATTTATGCGCTTTGTGAACCAGTAGCACGATTACATCATCCTAACCACATATGTATTATAGTTTTGTTTCTTTTTGTCTACTCTATTGGTTGTTGTATGTTGCATTGTATAATTTTTAGTGTTGATTTATTTTCCTGTCATACCAAATATATTTTCGTTGTTCATCATATTTAATGTCATTATTTTGAGGGAATCTTGATTATATTTACCCAGTTGAAAATGAAAATAAACACTTTTTCAAATATGATTAAATTGGACACTTAATTAACTCTACTTATTTCATATGTGAACTCTCCTAACTCAGTACATACTGTTTTAAGAGTGAATAATCAAAATATCTGTCTCATCAAATCTCGACAAATGAGATGGTGTTGTGTTAAACTGATGAAAATGTAACCATCTCACAGTCGTATCTTTAATTTATGTAGCAACTAAACATTATTTTTTTCCTGGTCTATTTATCTAGTTTAAATTGTAATAATTTACTCAGATAATAACATGTCATGGTTAACAATATAAATTGATATCAATCAGTAAATCGTTAATTTTAACATGTTCTCTTCTTCTCTTTGTTTATGATTATCAAAATTTTCTGATTTCATTTAGTTTTATGTATGAATTATATATATAAACGGCCAAGAGTGGGGAGAGTCCGCTCTCCCTCTCGAAATGCTCTCACATGGCCACGCGTATATAGCCTCTGATAGGGAAGTCCTACTCACTGCCTTCTCGTGACAGGAGTGTTGTTTACGAAATCGAAAGGACGAAAAGTGACTGTCCAGCGTTTTAACCGGGTTGGTGGACACGAGAAGTCCACCTAGGGGAGTTGGAAAACCCTGATTCCAAACCAATAATTCACATGGGCTCCAGTATCCTGACGGAACAAATGGCATGTGAACCAATCGTTGGTCACCGGCTATCATGGGAATGCATCCCCTTACGATGCTCCACTGCCTTGTGGGTTAGACCTTTAGGTCAAAGGTTCGGGGTGTGGCCCCCTAAGAAAACCACCTGCTTCAGTTTGAGCACCTGGGCAGTATCACAGTCCTCACACAAATCAAATGAGAGTTGTGTAGCGCATATATATCTGGTACCCCTCTGTACCAATATTTATGTGTTTATATATATATATATATGCATTGGAGAGATTTTCATTGCTTCAATAATCAATTCATTGCGTTCGCTTTTTTTATTTATCTAAAGAATTTCAGTATGTTTCTCTTTCATCATTATAAAAAAGAAACTTATTATTATTTATTAGTAATGATCCGATTTTCATGTTTGTTTTGTTTTTCTATAATAAAAAGTAACTAATAACTATTTTTTCACAAAATAATGATAATCTTGAGCAAATTCTACATTTATCGATTTATTTCATAATTTAACTTCATGATAGTGTGATTAAAAAACACGTTTGTGTGTATATATCTAAATAAAAGGATTCTGATACAGTTTTTGTAAGATATCAATGATGTTAATCCTAATTACCATCGGAGTTTCTATGCACTAGATTGTAAATAATATCTAATATATATGTGTAGAGAATGATGGAACTATCATAATCCTATCTGAATTAAAATTATTATAATTTATTTTTGTGTAATATTAAAGATTTAGTGGTCAAATCAATAAATCTTATCCTCAATATTTTAAGTTATACTCATTATACTGGTATTTAGACTTTTCGATAAAGTTTTAATATCACTGGGATCTTGTGATTTTTCAATGGCTCAACAAGTAATACAATGAGTAATCAATCAATTTCAAGTACTTACTAGTAATTAAAATTAATTAATCAGTTGGATATGCAATCTGATACATGTAAGGGGGTTGGTGCAATTAAAATTAAGGAGAATTTCAGTGTTTATTTTGTATAAATGATAATTCCAGATTATAGTAATTCATACTTGAAAAAAAAGAGATTGATTCATAGTCTTTCAGTTTACGTGTTCGACTTAGTATAGAATATAGATAGTATTCGGAAGGATGCAGTATTGTTTGTTGATATAATTTATTCTTCAGCGTAATATCTACTATCTGTTGCTTGGCATATTCTATTATTTTACACTTATTTTCTGTCTATTTAAAGCCTAGAATTTGTGCCATCTGAAGAATTATTTAATATTATTAGTTCAGTTTTCAGTCATCTAACGCTGTTACTATTTTTACTGTCGAAATTCAGTTTATTAAACTGAATTGCAAACTCACAGTCACCTGTTTCAATATATATATGTAAATATCGAGTTGACTCGTATTTATTCATATTTCTCGTTTCCACGGCACTGTCACAGGCGGTGATTAACTATATTCTATTTAGTATTCTTATTTCTCTCAATGTTATTTTTAGTAACATCGGATTAGTTGATAGATAGTTGAATAGTCGATAAATTTTAATGCATAATGTAGCAACACCAAATAATTAAACGTAGTTTTCGGAAATTTGGATTGTTTGAAGGTTTCCTAGTTAACGTACAATAATGTATGTATAGAAGTTTATGATCAGATACTGATAGTTTAGTTCATATGTGTGTTTTCTTGATTCTCACTTAATTGTCTTAATTCTATTTTTATTGAATCAGTTTGTATGTGTATGCTTATGTCTTTAGTGATTTTCATGTTCATTTATCTGTGTTGTTTTTAAATGTGTATATTTTAATTCCTTTCTTTTTACATTTTTGTTCGCACCACATACCTCTACATATAGTGTTATTGTGATGTTTTCTATAGATATTATAGATTTCTCATACTGTTGTCACAATATTATCAGGGAAGGAATAAATGTAATTATAAAACGTTAGCCTGTTTTACATGGTTTATATAATGACCGCGTCTACTGTCAAAAACAGGTTTTACCAAATTCTGTCTGTCTATGTACGTATGTATGTATGTAAATGTGTAAATAATCATGTTGATTTATCATCTTCATCCTAGGAACGTGAACACCATCCATCTGTAGGTGTTGCCCCTCAACGATCTGTCAATGGACGCCCACAATCATCTAGCCATCACTTTCCTCAACATTCACGACCTTTGAATAGTAGTCGTGGGCCACCAGCATATAATCAGTCACAACAGCAAATGCATTCGAATCAACCGAAACTGGGTGTCCTAGCTGCCGGGAGTCGTCTAGCTGACGCGAGTGGTTCATCATCTTACGCTGCTACTAATACTACAGCCTCAGACACACCTACAGATAGCCAATCTGTAACTAACAATGAGATTGTGTCCACGTCATCCTCAGTTAATAATTCGGTCACTACACCCTTATCAGTCATTGGTGCAGTTGGTGATAGTGGGCAACTTTCGCATCATTTTCCCCTACAACATCATAGAGCATCTGTGGTTAGTAGTCGTTGTTCTAGTTGAACATTTCATTAAACTATGTGCTTTGACCTTTTCTCTCCCCATTTTTACTGCTGTGATTACAAAATCTTATTTAGATAAAATGTATGTACTAAGAGAAATGGATAAAACACTTTTCGATCTCTGATTAGGATATGTATATTCAGTGGTCATAATTGGAAAAAGTCAGATTAATTTGAAAGTTATTACTCATAATTTTGAAAACACAAAACATAGTTATATAGTCTTTACTAGTTTGTTGAGATTCAGCATGTTCTCTTGTGTTTAACACTTAGTTTAAGATTTTTTTTACCCTGCGTCCTGATAAGTTGACTGAAACATACTGATCAAAATTGATACAGTTATTTCCCTTCTCACGTAACGAGACTCTATGTACAGCTTAGTGAATTATTGCTTTTAGTTTTATTTAGTGGATTCCATACTACTGGGTAAGATTTTAGTAAATCTAGTTTAATTCGTCCGATCTTATTTCTGAGTAAGCGTTTTGTCTTTACAAACTACTTCTATCGAAGTGCTTCATTATTCGCATTATCTGTTTTCTGATTAATTTTTTTCTACTGACTAATCGTCAGAGGAATATAAATTGTTTCTTTCATTTCATCAGTATTATTTAAACATTAAAATGTTGACAAATTGTGATGCAAAATCGGACTAAATTAATCTCATTACACTGTAAAATATTGTTGAATATTGTATTAAATATCGGCTTATTTATGTGAAGTAGATATTCTCTCAGATATTGTAGCTTGCTCACTTAATAGCTTAGAATGTAGTTTCTCCTCTAAATGAATTTCTCTTTAATGCAAACTTCTGTTGCCTCTGTTTCTTTGAATTTGTTGTTTCTCAACACACTGAATCAAGTTTATCTTATTGGAATTGTTTAGCGTCCAATTATACTAGGTATTCTGAAATGTGCGTGGAATTTGATGTATACTTTATTAAAAAAATTCATCACCATGAACTAATTTCTATAGATTATTCATAGTTGAAAGCGTGAGGCAATTGAAGCTAGACCACTATAGAAAACCTGGAAACACTGGACGGCCGTTTCGTTCTATTATGGGACTCCTCAGCAGTGCGCATATATAAAAAAAAATACTAAATCTCCACAAAACCCCTTCTAATAATTAATATAATCATATGCTCACTAGTGACTTCGAGAAGTATATCTAGGAGCTCTAGTGAGAAGCAATGACCAGTGGAGTTCAAACCACGTCTGTCGTGAGATAGGAACTCACTGAAGACAATTGGTGAATGGTTGCTCAACTTCGTGGATCAGTTGAAGTTAGACATTAACACCGTTGGATGCCAGCTCAGTGGTCTATCGGTTAAGGGCTCTGTCTCGAGACTGGTAGGTTCTGGGTTGGAATCTCGCGAGAGCGGGATAGTGGATGCGCACGGCTGAGGAGTCCCATAATAGGACGAAACGGTCGTCCAGTGTTTCCAGGTTTTCCATGGTGGTCTAGCTTCAATTGACTCATGATTTCAACTATGAAAAATACTAAATCTCCACAAAACCCCTTCTTATAGATTAACTAAAATTAATAGTTATTAATTTATTCAATAATTATTAGCATTATTAAGCTTAATGTCTGTCATTTTCTAAATTGATTACTATGTTCTAATGCGTTTTTCATATATATATATATATATATATATATATATATATATATATATATATATATATATATATATTTCCTTATTTATCTGTGGTCAATCTATGTTATAACTAAGACGTTCCAACACTGTAGAACATTTCACGTATCAGTGCCAAGGTTGAACTTGATAGTTTCAAATAAATTTAGCATTGGGTAGTAAGTTAGTAATAAATAAACATTTTTATTATATCCCAATGAGTAGTAAATCGCATTTAAACCTGTATTATTTCAGTTATTTATTTACTCTGAGACTGTGGCCTTCTTGAAGTCACGGAACGTTGGGATATAACGAAAGATATATTTATTATTAACTTTGGACCATTGATTGCAATCAATAATTATGTACTAGTTAGTTCATTATTGAACAGTAAAGCTGTTAACTCTTTACACTGAGTTCTAAAGATCGGTCATTTATATTTTACGTTTAATCGATCAAAACACTAACGATCTTAATAGTTTATCCATAGAATGTAACTGATTTATTCCGAATTCTCGAGTGTTGTTTATGTTAACGTTATTGTCTTCTGTCTATTTGTATTGTGTTAAGATGTATTTTGTATAGTTTGGGAAAAAATGAGTGAATGACTTCTCTAAGAGTAGAATTAGTTATATATATATTAACTATAGGAAGATTGTGGAGGTTTTTGAATTTCCAGTTGCAGTTATGACGAGACAGCCACAGAGTGCTTTTTAGTTTTAAGTAGTTCTTTGATTACGTTTATTTATTAATGAAATGAATCCTCAGAATAACTGGACATACCTGTGTGTTCTGAAATATAGGAAGATTGTGTTGAATGTGGTTGAATAGTTTCTATACTCTTCAGTGAATCTCAATAAATCTATGTTAAAAAATCAACGCGTTTCGGTAACTTTCGTCGAATTGTACTGTCATCATTATAAACATTTGTTTATCACCCAGACTGCTTAAGCAGTCTATTAAATCTCGTTATTTTATATTACTAAATGTCTACATGGGGATTTAACCGTAAATGAATTAATTTATTCGTGTTACTTTGTATGTAGATGCAAAATGTGTTTTGTATTTTCGAGTATTTTTCAGGACATTTTTTTGGGAAGATTTTGATGAAATCCATAAATACAGATAGTATTTTGACTAAGAAATTTCACACTTTGTGAATGTTGTTAGGATACACCACATCCAATGAAACTACAAGTTTCAATACATCTTAATGAAATTGCGTATAAAATTAAATTCAGAAAAATTATGCAAAACCATTGTAAATAATCCATTTTATGTAAACCCATTGTTCATGATAAGTATATCACTTTAATTTCTTTATAACGTAAGTTGTCATTTTGTATAAAGCTTCTATGAGTTTAATTAATTGATTTTATTAGGTTGACTGAAATGTTTTTTCTCCGTTGAGTATTCGCCCGTATTTACATGTCATATGGTTCATAAGGTTCAATATACTGAGTCAATAACATTCTTCATTTCGTTGTTCTTTTTTCTATTTGCATGTGTAAGTTTGTAATTTAAGTTTTTTCTTCTTTATTCATATATTATTGCTTGCTGTTTTTGGCTTGACGCATGCTGATTATATTGATGGTGATGCTGGTACTATCTTTTGTAACAATTCATATGATACCTAATACTTATAGCCGAATCCTCCCAATTCTTTTCATCCGACTGTTGTTACTTCTTGTTCCTCCTCCTCATCATCATCATCGATATTTTCAAATGATCATTTGGGCAATTTACTTATTTCGCCATTTCGTGCAAAACTTGCCAATCCTGGTCCACCACCCATTCCACTTCATCAGCAGGTTCGTATTAGTAATAGTGGATTGAATGGGGGATTACATAATGCATCAGGAGTACAATATCAAACTGATGAAGTGAATGGTTCATCTAGTATAGTTGGCATGGGTAACCCTGCTAGTTCTCGTCTCCAGCACATTGTCGCACCTAAATTTCCATCGACCCGTCCAATGAGTCAGGTATTTTAAATTCCTTATTTTTCCTGTTGATATGTTAAGTTCTCTAAATAATTATTTCAAAAACTGTTTTGGTTTGGAAAATATCATTTAGAAAAAGTTATTTAATATCTGTCTTCGTAATAGTGATGATGCATTGTTGAAACATTTTAACTATTCTTTATACGGAGAAATCTAAATATATCTTGAACAATGTGGTTTCCAACTAAGTGTCGGGTGAATTTTAGAATTCATCGAATAATAAGTGACTGGTTAGGTGAATCAGTTATGTTCTTAATACAAGGAATGAATGTATGTGGCTTTGGTACTTCATATAGCTGAAGACTATTCTTAAATATACTAACAACTTCAAATTGTTGTGTTAAAATTATGGCATTGTGGACATTCTACTCTTCTATTTGATTTGTTAGAACGCAAAGATCATTAGTAACGTTCAACATTTGGAAGTAATGATATTCTCAGTCATTTTTTCAAAATACATTAATGAGCCTTGCGTCTCATTTTCACCTTGTCAGTGGAAATAGTACTTATATATAGTGAACATAATGCCTTCAACCACTTTTTCCTTGTTGAAATTCATAACCATGGTTCTATAATATTGAAAGAATACGACTTTTGAATCGAACTTTAATTTTTTGGAGAAATTCCACAAAATGAAAACAACAATTATTAGTCAAACTGGAGAATGATTGTTTAGAATACGAAAGACTAATAGGATTTTGGAAATGATGCGGTTCACTCCTTATATACACTCGACTATAATTAGTTATATTCATATGCCTTTTCCTATATGACCATTGTTCAATTATATTATCTGCTAATTCCATATCCATTGCCTTTTGATGGCGTTGATTTCTCTCAGTTAAATGATTCGAATAGGGAGCTTTCATTGTCATTCTGAACAAAAGTTTCAGTCTCTACTTCATATTATTTCATAAGTGTTTTATCCGTTCAATCCAATGGCCTTGTTTGCCACTTTCATATGAAGTAGGCTCAGAAAATTTTGTCCAGAATTACAATGAGAGCTCTATATTGGAATAATCTAACTCAGAAAACACTACGTCACCAAAAAGATCCTCCTGGTCTGAGAATTCACTCCACTGTTTCAAAAAATATCCTTTATCTTTTTAAACAGGCTATACCACATTTGGATCTTCGTAAACCACCATTAGAATCAGCTTTACCCCAATCGATCATCACATCAACCAGTCCAGTTGTTAACCAATCCAAGTTATCGGTAAACGCAAGTATATCGAGTCCTGTTAATCGGTCTAGTGGAGCTGCGATGGCTTTTGCTGTAACTACTAGTACTACCACCACCACAACTACGACAACATCAGTGCCGACTAGTACAACCACTGTGACAACGGTGACGACAACAACAAGTGAAGTTTTTAATTCTAACTTTACTCGTCAATCAGCAACATCAAATTTACTATCTGGATTCAACAATCGATCTCCAGCACACCAAATATCCTTAGTTGGTGAAAATGGTCAGTTTTAATAGTTCTTTCAGTGTATTATTTGCGTGGGTATGTATGTAAGCCTTATATAAACCCAAATACTACACTCTCTGCAATAAAATTATGTCACCTAAATATGACAGCATATAAATACTTACAATTACTATCACGTAAAATTAAATATTAAAATTAATTTTCATTATTCACTTGTATCTTCCCATTGTTATTTAGGACTGCACTTGGTCAGTCTCTTGTTGAAATATGTGCGACTATGTGTAACTTCAAGTAATATGGAGGCAGTCCGCACAGCATGCACGTATTTCAACAAGAGACTGATTAATTACAGTCCTAAATAATAATGGGAAGATACAAGTAAACAACACCAAGTGAATATAACTTCAGCCCATTGCACAAAAGGGGGATATTAGGACTCAGTAACTAAGTGGATAACATGATGGCGTTTGAAGCAAACGGTACTGGGTTACACCCAGCTGATGAGTTACAAATAGGACGAAACGCTCGTCCACGATTAGCCACTATCTATCTTTGCTTATTAATTTGCATTAGTTCAGTTGTCTGTCGTAGTCAACATAGAGGCCTGGCATTAGTGTCACCCAACTCCATTCATTGATCACGATAATCGCGCGTATCTCAACAAGACAGTTTACATCTACCAACATGATTCAGTTCAACAGTCAGTGATATCATGAACTGATACCGCATTTTGATTTGGCTGCGCATAACTTTCTTCTAACTTACATCTATGTGAGCAACAAGCTAATTTGTTAGTTAGATGAATTATCCTTATTTTGAGCTAAAAAGATTTTCTGTTATCCGTAAAACTGTTTCCTACAGCCATAGAAGTATCAATGTTTCTATTCATTTGAAATTGTGATAAATAGGAAGGCTTTTATTTTGTGCATATTAATAATTAATAAATGTATAATCCAAACTAATCAAACATAATTCGATTACTAATACTGTATCCCAACAATATGAAAGATTTTTAGTCTTCCTTTAGTAAACTCTAATATTTTTATGAGCAGTTATTATTGAACACGGAGAAAAATAGGGAATTTAGATCATTTCTACTTATTGTCACTATTTAGTTGCGAGGACTTTAAGTGTCCATTGTATTCTACTTTTCATCATACCTTCTGACGAGCTTTTGTTATCATTCCACAATAATAACTGAACGAAAGAGTGAATGCTCTATTGGTCAGTGGAATTTATGTGGTGCTCTACTAGTGATTACGCGCTAAAGCCAACCAGACGATGCATGATATTTTACTGAACGGCTACCGGAAACAAAGCAATTAGCCAAAGAGACTTATTATTAAATGAATAAATTATCCATTCACTTAGCAAGACTAATAACACACATGTATTGTTTGGATAAACAGCGTGTTTCTAATTTGATCCATGTTACACTCGAATGCGAGTATCCATTTTGTAGATCAAATAAATCATATTGTTTTGCAAATACACGCCCCATGCATTGTATCCAAAGTCCTAAAAGTAAGATAATTTGCCTACTTTCGATAAAGTACAAATGTGACTTTATTTCTAACTAACCGGGTACGGAAAAATCAGATTGATTTTCGACAAATATATAGTTGGAGTGGAAGGAATTTTGATAAAATGCTTTGAACATATCTGCTCATCAGTGGTTAATATTTGATTTAGATGAGTATGTAGTTAAATTCTTATGAACTACTTTCTAACTACATGAGTTAAATTGTTAAGTTATTTTTTTATCAAAATTAAAGTGATATTAATGTACACAGATGGTTCACTAAGAGTAACATAATTCTGAGTCATATATATCAGGTAATATGCATTTGTACTTAATAAACACACTGAACTAACAAAATCTTTTCTATTACATAAGGCTATCAGTGTCTTTAATGGAATTAATGTTATCAATCGTAACATTAATTGGTTATATTTTACAAAAACTATCATGATAAGACTATAATTTATGAACGACCTTTGAGAAACGCTAAAATGGAATGTCCACCTACTTAACAGGGTTAAGTGAAGGTTTTATATTGGTGTGAGAAATTAAGATTAAGATTTACAATTGAATGTTAGGGTGAGGAATTAGATTTAATGTTTTCATCACGAACTGACATCAGCTACAATGCCAAGACGGTATTTAGCCAAATGAGTGAAAGAATTTCGCACCAAAATCCAAGACCATCTGTCTTAAATGTGATTGATTCGTCCATAAATTATAGTCTCACTACGGACATTGCTCACTCTACAATACAGTTAAAGAAAAAACAACAAGATGAATCAAATGAATATAAATTCTGAAAATAGTCTTCCTTCTTTTATAACTGTAGCATAATCACTATCAACTTTCTCTTTCTTTAAACCTCTGTTCCCATTATATTGACAGATATATTGAAATAAAAAGAAAAAATGAACTAGATTTACCAAAAAATGACACAAATAGTGAATAATTAATAAGCTATCGAATTTTGGCTTTATTTTCAAGTAAAATACATATTTCCTACTATTATGTTGTGTTTCTCTCAATTTTATAGATTTATAAGCTGAGTTCACTTTCAAAAGATAGTTCATTTCTATTTACAATATGATCTGTTTTTTTTTGAATGATATAAATTGGAAATTATTGTATCATATTAAGTAACGATGTTTCAGATGTTCAGTCCTACAATTTATCATCTTTTTATACAATTTGTGGATCTAAAATAAGCTTTATATTTTCGTTTCCCTAAATATCAAATTAATTTGGATGGTAGTCCAAATAAACATTTTAAATACAAAATATCAGTCAGGACAGTTTATCCATTGAGTGTTAGTTTTTCTAGCCTACAATCTTTTTCTTATCATGGATATCAAATAATGTTATGTGAAGTAGAAAATTGTTATATCGTGTGGCCGAGTGGATGCCTAGTTAACATATGAACGTGATAAGACTGCCAATCAGAGAGCAGCGGCTGATCGATCGTACCAATGACACACGGAAACTGTACGAGCAGTCTAGAGTGCTAATCGGTCCTGCTTCTGCCTAGCCCAGCCAGTTAAGTCCTGAACACCAATCTCAGCCTCTACGATTTGATTCATTTATTTCGAAGATACTGGGTTTATGTACCAGACTGACCACACCATACCAATAAAATAGAAAATAACATTTGTACAAGAGTTAGCCAGATGTGGCTGTGAATAGGGAGAGTATTAATTAATAGACTTATAAATCGTGCAATGATAGTTCAAAGGTCAAAATAAAGCTCACAATGAAAGAAACATGAATTTGTGTAGTTCAATTATTTAGCAAACATACGAAAAAAAATATATGCATAATATTGGTCCATAAATGGATCCCAAAGTTACCATTCACTATTGTCACCGGGGCATAACAAAAATGTATAGATCCATCGTATTTAAATATGATATTTTTGTATGTAATCTTAAGTTATCTTGTTAACTTTAAACGTGTATAATTACCGTTCATAATGTAATGAAGACGCTAGATGTTTACAAATTCACACTTTATTAAGCTGTTTCAATGTTATCTGTTATTGGTTTATTTATAACAATAATATTATACATAATAAATTTTAATTAATCGGATATATTTTTATTTCTCCTCTTTTCGTCTACTCATTCTTACTTGTAATGAATTTCATTTGAACAATATAAATTCGATTATTTTATCAACAGTTTCAACTAAGAATATCACTACAACAGTTGCAAATAACAGTACATGTATAAATAATAGTTATAAAGTGCATTCAAATCAACCTGAACTTCGTACACGTGCAAGTAAACAATTGTCTAATCGTCAAAATTCAGGTGTTGTTCCTCAAAAACTACATCATCCTCATCATTTACATCAGCAAAACAATCCAAATCATATAATTAAAAAATCTGAGGTAAGATTTCACATTATTCTTGTTTATTTAAATTTGATTTGGATGACTTTACCAAAAAAAAATAACTCCATTTGTACAACCGGTCATTGTCTAGCTCATGATAAATAATCAAACTTTTTTTCAGTGGAAAACAGTTACCAGTAATATACAGTCATGTTTTACATTTTGTACTGTAATAGTATAATATCCAGGTTATAATTTATATTTGTATGTTTATAGTTAGAAATATTGATCAGTGGAATCAAGACTAGGTTACTAATTATAGCAAAATATTTTCGCCATAAATTTTTGTTGTCTTGTATTTAATCAACCCAGATGTGATGTTTAGGTAATTATGAGGTTTATTTTATAATAAAAGGAAATACATAATTTCCTCCGATTTTTCAATCGATATCAGATTGGGTTAATAACCATGTTTAAGGTTACTAAATCACCTGTAATCCGTTAATCTGAAACTTTAATTAATCTTTCATTTAGTTTGTTTTAATTCTTAACTATTTAAAAGATTTTAAGTTGATGACTATATCATGCCATGCTAATACATAAGAATTCTGCAAGCTGATAATAATCAATTACCTTCATAAATCACTTGTCTATACTTTCCACTTTGTACGAAAAAGAAAGTGGCATAAATTAGTTATTGTTTTCGTGATGTACGAAGTACAAAACCTGATGTCTTTATAAGTTTGTCTAGACATTTACAATAATAATAATATCAGCTCTATCATTATAATACATACTAACTTATGGTAAATGAATAGATTGAATCGATTCAATTATATACGTTTAGTAATGACTTCAATATATTGTTTCCGAATACCATTCACTTCGTATTAACCTAATATGATGAAACTTGACAACGGGGTTAGAAATCAGTTCATTCATCGGTCCACGGGGTATGAGGTTCATTTTTATTCATTGGTTTATTTTAAGACATTTAAATTTCAGACTGTTATTTTTAAATAAAGTTTCATTAAAAGTTTTTATTTTAAAAAATATCTGTCTTACTTTAAATACTATGCTGATTATTATCATATACTCAGTATCCCACAATTTTTCATATTCCCTTCGAAATATATTTTTTTTGTGCGTTATCTCCCAATTACTACTACTAATTCTACTTATATTATCATTATTTGGGGTTTTGTGTTCATCATTTTGTTTTAATTTCTATTCTCATTATGCTTATGTGAAGTAGAACAACTTGAACAACGACACATCGTATCACATTTTATCTTGTTTATGCTTAATAAATGAACTTTTTTTAAAAAGATTAATTATAATTCTCTTGAAAATTTCTTTTAATCTTAAAAAAGTGTTCTGGTGGATATTTGTTTGTTGCTACAGCTGATTTAAAATAGTGTTCCTTAACCTACTTTTCAAGTGTTTTTTTTAAAGGATTACATCTTGTATGTGTTTTCTTTTGTTTTATGTTAGGTGTTTGTATCAGTTTCTTATTTGATGTTTTTAATTTACTAATTCCAATACTAGTGGATGATCATCGTATTTTTTATTTTACGTTGGGATTAGGGAAATATATTTTTTTCTTTCATTCCACTGAGCATTCTTCAAACACATTTGAATGTAAAAACAGTTATTTCGTCTACTGATAAACAAAGCTAGAAAAATGTATGAAGAATTTATAGTTTATCATTGTATTACTTTAGATAGGATAACCGACTCAAACATGTTGAGCAATAATATACTTTAGATTTCAACATCGCTACTACACATAACAGTTCTAAATTTCTATCTACTATAGGACAGAAGTTGAACACTACTGCACAGTAGTCCCATGGTAATATCGTTGTATTCTAAGTACCAAGAGATTAGTCGATACATTACATTGATCAGAACGTGTTTTTTTACAGGCACAAAAAGTCATTCATTACATTTTATCGTTGAATTTGATTACCTATTTTTCTCAATAATCACGTCTTACGTATGAATTTGCTTGTCTATGTATCGAGTAGTAATGTTTCTCACTACAAGTTATCCATAAAACTTGTAGATTTAACGGGTAATCATTGTTCTCATTTGACTGTTTCAATGAATATAATTCTTTTTTCGTTTCATATAATATAAAGATATCACGTCTTGAGGTAAGTGAACTTTGTGGTTTATGTATTGGTGTATATTTGTGAACATGTCTTTTCTAATCAATTATGTTTGTAAACGTATGCGCGTATGTGTGTGTTTGTTTCAATAAATGATTGATTAGGTCAGATTAGCTTTTTTCATCGATGCAATTCGATTTGCTAAAGTCAGTCACACTCCTCTTGTTGGTCCCCATAGCCCTCATTCCGATTTCCTTGTATGCTCTATAATATGGTATGCTGTACAGATGTACCTCTTTTCTTCTCTTCCTTTTACTCTAATTGCTTGAATTATCTAATCAGGTTTGACTAGAATGATTTTCCATAGATTTTTGGTCAGATTGCTTCGTGAGTTAGATCTGTTAAGTTGCCATTTTCTTATTTGCATTATCTTATTACAGTTTTGCGTTTATGTATGTCTTTTTTGGAATACAATGTGAAACTAACATATGCCTTTCCTTTTTTATCTTCTCCCTATTTTTGCTGCGCTTATCTTGCCCACTTTTGCATCATCCACAATGTCTAAATGTACGATTTCGTCGATGACGGTACCTGCTTTTACGGGTGTGGATGGATGGGGGTTATGTCATATAATACAATTCATTTTTGATGTTACTTTCTTGTCTCTATATTCGTTCATCCTCGTTTCATTATGTTTTCGATGTATCACCATAATTTCATTTTTGGCCTATAATTATTCACCTGAATGTGTATCGTTGAATGGGGTCGCTGTGGTATTATACAACTGTACATCATCTGCTATGTGTTTATCTTCCCTTCTCAACCCTTCATCTTCTTTCACTGTATATCATATGGTAAATTATACTGTCCGATGAAATTGTCACAACGAAAACGATTAATAAAAATGGATGTATTATCACTTCTGCTATCATTCCTCTACTTTTATTTTGAAATGATAAAAATCTGAATGTTGAAACTTTTGTTGTCCCGTAATTTTGTTTTTTGTTGACACATGGTTTCTTTATAACATAAACACTGTGATTGTGTTTTCTTGTAAAAATCGATTGATTTGGTAATATTTTGGACGATAATTTGTTTGTTGGTGTTGTATGTATACACGAATATTATATGTCCATTTCTAAATAAAAACGGTTTATTGTTGTGATTGTTGGTTGGATCCGTTTTTTGAATAATTATAATAACAGTATGGAAAACGGAATAATTTATTAAGATCAATAGGGAAAGCATCATTATTACCTGTTTTAAGTAGTTCTGGTATTAGTAATAGTATTGTCAATAATGTTGTTACTAAGGTGGGCACTATCTTGCCAACATTACAAACAAACAGTGAACCTACCATTTCTTCGCCATCTTCACATATCATTTCATCTTCATCTGCTTATTTATTAACTTCCACTCCTTCAACAGTTGTTTCACCGTCAGGTATATTATCTGATCATGTTAGTACCCAACAGTTTCATATCAATTTATTCCAATGGCTTAAACAAACTCAATTGAATCCATCGTCTGCATCATTAGTCTATTTAAGAGAACAGCTTCGACAGAATTTCTTCTCTCAGCAATCGCATGACCACCAACGACAGCAATCACAGCAACATCATGGAACTGAATCAACTGTACCACTTGCTACAACATTAAATTTGATGACAGAAACAACATTAACTACTACACCAAATATTGTTCATCACTTCCCAAGGCGACAACAAACAAATGTATTGAATGTTTTCAGTCATTCAGGTGAAACTGTACAAACTACTCAACCGTTAGTGGATAATGATTGGTTTGGATCTAATGTTGACTTAATAGAAGTAAAAAATAATGATAACAACAATGACAATTTAACTGTTGTTGATTTATCATTTATTCAGACTACAACCTCTGAACCATTGTTAACATCGCCAAAACCACCTTTAGGTCCAAGATTATTAAGACGTAGACTTCCTAAACCAAGACCAGATGAATTTATTCTTGTTGAAGAAGGAGATGATGAAGACGAATTGATCGAAAGAGATCAAAATCTCACTTCATCATATCATTTTAACTTAGATGAGATCTCTCGCACTCATGACTCATCTACATCTAATAACTGTGAACAAATAGACTTTGTAAAAAATGAATCATCTCAACCTATTGTAGAGTGTAATAACTGTTCAAATATAACTGAAGAGGAAAACAATAATGATAGTCAAACAAAGCCTGAAGAAATGATTAATTTACAATCGGTAGGATGTTTTTGCGCTGTGTAGCATCTATGATGTATAAGTGTTATTATTATTCTAATATTTCCCTCACGTGTAATGTACATTCATTCAGATCATTTCCTCTCCCTCCCATTCATTTTCGTTGTCCGCCTAGTTTGTGTGTTTTACTAATCCTTTTTTTCAAGTCAATTGATTTTAACCATTTAGATGCCTGTGATATATTCGTTTTATTATTATTATTACTGTCAATAAGATCTTAGTCCTGAATGAGTTATCAATGTTTATAGTACCTATTGTTTTATAGTAGTACTATTAGTAGTAGTATCTGTTTAACTTTTTGCTTTACTCTTCATATTGTGGTTACTTACTGTACATCATAGTTTTGTTCCTTGTGTACTTCTTTGTTTAAATAGCTTTCTATGTTGTAGTATGAACAAAAATATCAGTATTGCCTTTTATGATATTTTGTTATTCGCAATATGGAGTTATTCTCTTATTATTCTTAAATATTTTTCCTCCTGTAGGAACTTGATCAATTAGCTGCACAACTGACCAATTTAGGCGCTGTTTCACCTAGCCCACATCGACAAAATAATCGAGGTCATTTGAATGGCAAATCAGACATAAAATCAAATGATAAACAATCATCATCATCATCACAACAACAAAAATCTTATGAAAATAATAATGTAAAATCATCAGCATCTAATGAATTAGTTACATCAATAGAACCAGTATGTGCGGTTGAAAAACTGAATCGATCCAGTTCACTTTCTTCAACATCGTCATCATCTTCTTCTTCGTCATCTACAACTAATTCTTCTTCTGTATCATCCGAATTTCATGGTAACGAGGGTTCACCAGTATATGTGGAAAATAAGCATTCAACAAGCTACTCATCTACAATGAGTAGATCTCATTCTGTTGGTTCAAATCATGAATATCACACCTCAAGCACTTGTTCTTCATCCTCTGCTTCTACTATTTCTTCATGTGATTCCAATCAACGTAAAAATCATGAAAATGCATGTCGAGTTATATTGAATGGAAAACGACATTCGGAAATAGATCCTCGTCGACTTACTGTTGTCGAGAACGTTCGTGTGTTGAATAATAATGACAACAAAATGGACCGTAATGCTAATATGGATTCTAATGAGCTTGATGACTTAGGTAGAATACAAAAAGATCCAGTACAATTCATCGCTTCTAATGATAACCAGCTTGATGACTTTAACTATGGAGCTTACAACATACAAAACGATGATGAAGATGACGAGGACATTGAAGGTGGAGGAGAGGAAGAGGAGGATGAAGATGAAGGTGATGTCATCGTTGTTGAAGAAGAAGAAGAGAATGGTGCTGATCTAGAAGAGGCTGAACAGTTGAGGGCTACTTTATCTATTGTTCGTACACGTCAGAGAACATCATTTGATGAATCGATAAGAAATGTTGATGGTGATGTTGGTAGTGCTGTCATAAATGAATCCTCATGCTATGTAGATGATGGAACGTTGTCCAATGAGGCAGTAAGGTGGCATAAAGAAGGGACCTTGTAAGTTTTTTCTCTAATACTCATCTCTGTTGTACTAGTGTTTCTAGTAATATTTTTCCTCCTACAACATAAATATTGTCATGTTCCCTTGGAATTAATTATATTTATTTGATTATAACCTAATGAAATAGCCATAATTAGTTAGATAATTGACTACGCTGTATAATTGATTTTCATGCATGACTAATTTCATATTTGTTTTGTGTTTTTCTTCCCACGTCTTATTCATTGCGTGCCTATTTTTCCTTTTTTTGTCTTTCTGCAAATTCTTGCTTTTATATAACACTATCGTAAATTCTTTTCATATTTTATTCATGGAATAATCCTTTTAAAAACACAAAAACATAAATTGCGCGTACTTGTAACTAACTTCACGCTAATTTAAAAAAATATAACAACATTCTTTTTTTAATAATCCCAATTACTGAAGTGACAATATGGTGCACTCAATAAATTTCATGCCTAATTCACCAATTATTCTGCCTCCACCGCTTCCTCCACGCTCTAAACGTCATTCTTTTTACATAGAATCTCACTTCCCTAAACCTGTACACCGAACTGTTATGGTTTCACCGCCATGTCATGTTTTATTAGAGCTAGGTTCATCTAATCAGTCAAGACGTTATTCTGCACCCGGTCTTTCAATTTTAAAGTAAGTTAGTTTTACCATTAGTTTTTGGTTTGTTTTAGTTAAATGCGCTTATGTTCCGCATTCCTTGACTTATTCCCCCTGCTATCATCACCATCTCCACCAACAATAACAAAGTCAACAACAATTAAAATATCTTTTTTAAAACTTCAAAGTTTCATATGTTGAAGTGTTATTTACCCCATATTGTGTGTGTATGTACCCATAAAGTAAACGAATACCGCACAAGCTAAGAGACTGTTGTTTCATCAATATTGTGTGATTACATGTTACAACTATTGCTAACCATTATATTGAATTACTAACAAGTAGTTTTGCTCATTTGATCACTATAATTCTAGTGTTTATGTGTAAGCTTTTTTTAAAAAAGAAATAGCGTACAATTTATGTATTCACTGTTTCAATAATCGTTAGTTATCTTGAAATAGTTTGTATTGCATTAACTTTATTGTAAACCATTCATCCTTAAATGTTTTGTTTAGCTTGAGGGTTTGATTTCTCGGTTCCCTGTCATATGGTTGACGATTTGAAAACTACATTGTTTAATTTTTGTTTAGGAAGCCTGATAATATATCAATGGTGTTATAATAAATATGGCTATCTTATACACAAACCTGTATTTAGTTAGCAAATTTCACACTTTTTACCTGTGGTAGATAAGTTAAATATCATTTCGTCTATAAACCGATGCAAATTGAGGAGGGCTGTTGAGAAAACGGTTGTTTATTGATGATGATGTTCGATAGTATTTTAAATAAAATCGCGGAATTATGACCGTTGGGACTCAAATACTGTTACACAATATGGTTGTAACCACACATGATTTTTTAGCTTCGAATCTGAGTTAATTTGTTAGCCTTTACTAAGAAGGCGTATATTTTAAGTAAATTGATCCCTTCTTTATCTTAGTGGTTTGTCAGTTATTTATTGCGGAGAATGAAAGTATCTTCAAGTGCATCATTCTATTAGTAAGTTAACTTTCAAAAATAAAAGAATATTTGACTGTAATAAACTTGTTATTCTTTCTATATGATAAACAAAAGGAATCAATAAAATTTAATCATCGAATGACCATGAATTTATTCATACACAGTTTGGAATTAGGTAGGTTAATAGTTAAATATTCATTACTACGTAGTATCGTTTCTATTGATAATACTCTGTTCTATAGGTCGAATAGTTTACTTATGATTATCATTCTTTACTGTCATATTAGCCAACTGATATAACAGATAAGCAGAGATGGATAGTGGCTAGCAGTGGAATCCAAGACGCGCGTTTCGTCCCATTTGGGACTCGTCAGCTGGATGTACCTGCATCTCAGAGTTGATGTTCACTCTGGGACTCGAACCCAGTACCCTCGCTTCAAACGCCATCGCGTTATCCACTCGGCCACTGAGTCCTGATAGCCACTTGCTTGTGCAATGGGGTGAAGTTTAAATTCACTTGATATTGTTTGTTTGGATCTTCCCATCGATGTGTTTAGGACTGCAACTGGTCAGTCTCTAATTGGCATATGTGCATACTGTGCGTATTGCCTCGATATACCTTAATTCACAAGCATGGTAAGCAGAGATGGATAGTGGCTAGCAGTGGAATCCAGGACGCGCGTTTCGTCCTATTTGGGACTCGTCAGCTGGATGTACCTGCATCTCAGAGTTGATGTTCACTCTGGGACTCGAACCCAGTACCCTCGCTTCAAACGCCATCGCGTTATCCACAGATAGTTTAAGATATTTCCTCTCTCTCTCTCTCAAGTATACTACTATATGTTAGTATGATAATATGACTAGTCATGTTATAACAAATTCAGGATTTACGATCCAGAGTATAGACTAAACAATACTTTATTCCGCTCAATTACACGCAGTCATTTCCAGCGAGTTCAGGGTAGAAACCAATAACAGAAGTAGAAATCGCAAATTTAATAGTCAGTAGACTTTGTGCCTGTTTGTCCACGCTCAGTGACCGGTTATATTTTTCTTCCTCTACCACATATCACCACCTAGTTTTGTGATATTGTTTTGAATGGATGGTAGCCTAATAGTAGAACTACTTTATTTTGAACTGTTGAATTTGAGGTCCGAATTCCAACTGACCTTTTTCTATCCGAATAAACGGCTTATCTAAATAATACGAGTAATACAATATGGAGGTGTAATAAAACATTTGGAATTGACACATTCACCTGTGAGAACATAGTAATACAAAAAGGATCATATTACGTTACATATTAGTTTCATCGATTCCATAAGATTGTTTATAATGTCCGATTTTGTCGGTTATATTAATGAAGAAACGAAATTTATAACTTTTAGTACAAATACTTTACTTCTCATAGTAATAGAGGAACTGTTATGCACTGCTGACACTCACGCACACAGTGACCTAAACCAACTTTTATGGATTTCTTCCGTTCATATAAACTTGTTTTACTGCTCAAATGTTCGTATTATAAGGTATTAAAAATAAATTCCAAACTAGTCAAGCATAAATGCGAACTCAACATCAGGGAAAAATGAATTCATTATTGTTGTTTTGCCATACACATTTAAAATATTTTATTATTCTGCACTTATTCCTTTTTTCATCTATCTCTTCTCTGTGTATATGTTTACTTTGTTCTAAGAGATATGTTAACTTACACCAGCGCATTTCTCAGTTTCTAGTTTTCCTAGTATATTTGGGACAGAATTCTATTGTGTGTTTTTTAGTTAACAGTAATTAACTCGTTATGAGGTCAGTAATTTCATTATTGTCATCTGCAAGCATATATATATATATATATATATATATATATATATATATATATATATATATATATATATATAACTGGAGAATATTTTTTCTGATAATGATCAGAACTATTCAACGTTAGATAATTTGAATAAAAGGATTTTTTTGAACCTAATTGAATCATTAACCAGCTCATTATAGTTACTAGTTGTGAATTGTTCCATTTTGTTTTATTACGAGAGTTCAGTTCGATTGATGTTACCGCTTAGTTCTGTTTTACACAGAGCACTGATAGTTCAACTTAGTAGCATGATAAGGTTTCAAATTCTATTTTACCAACTTTGACGTAGCTGACTGAACTGGTTAGTTGGTAGTTAATAAAATTATAATAGAATTTTTCTAATTGTCTAATTTAACCTACATCAATTCATTCAAAATATATCTATCACCGCATCTGTTGCATCAATAGTTACAGTACCACCAGTTTTCTCCACGGTTTTATTTCTTCCTTGATTTTCCCTTCATGGTTTACTACACGATCATTCGTTTTACATTATGTTTATTATTTTATACTCCCGTTTTCAGTGATGACTTATGATGAAAAATAGAATTCGTTTTTCATCTTATCCTTCAGTTGACTGCTTTTGAGTGTTTATAAATTTCTTCTTTTAAAAAAATATTAACTTCATTGCAACTACCATGACGAATACTACAGTCTCTTCAACTAGGTTATTATGTTATGACAGAGCAACTTGTACCACTTTTTCGTTAGAATCACTAAACCTTTGAGCTATTGAATATCAGAAGTACATTAATCAGCTTCCCATTGATACTGAAACATTTCAATCTTCCTTTTAACCTTTAATTTATTATTGTGTCGTTTCAAAATGTTTTTGATGGAGAACATTTTTACATATTATATGTGTCGTTATTATTGATATTTCACTGGACTGGTGATCGGTGAAAAAACTCAACAAGCTTTCATCCATTGCGTGCATAAATGCCTAGATTGTGTGAGGTTGTTAATGTTAATGCGTAACTATTTACATTCAAATGGATGTAAAATGAGTTTTATGTGTTTATTTAACTTGTTACTGGATGAGTTGATTGATTGAGTAGATCAGTAGATTCAACCATATTTTTTCTTGTACGATTACTTTTTATATTAATAATGTGAATGCTTTCTGTATTTTGTCTTATCTACCACAAATTTTCATGGATCTGTCACTTCATGTATGCGTGAATACATTAGACCATCAGACGAATTTGCCAAGGAAACTTTATGCAGTTTAGCATCGATTATTGAGTCTACATCTGGGACAATTAGCCGATCTGGATCTAATGTTAGTCCGCCAACTGGGAGTAATATCGTTAAAGTAAGCTCGACCATGATTATTATATCTATTGTTTTCATCATATCAATTTAACATCATTTTTAAAGCACTTTAGTTATTACAATTTAATCTCCATCTTTGTTTCTCACTTATCCGTCTACTGCACTTCCCATCATTTGTTTTTTAAACTTGTTGTAGATTATTTTTCTAATACATTTTCTATTGAAGTACTTTATTAGGTTAAAAGAAATAGTCTTACTAGATTTTATGTTGTCTATTCACCCAGTTAAATTCGTCTGCTTGGAATTCAATTTTAATTAGGGAACCTAAAACTATCAATAATCTACGTAGTATATATCCAATATCCTTTGATTTTTTTGGACAAAACTTACGATAATCACAAGATGAAGCCAAATTATTGATAAGTTATTCGAAACCGTGTTGTGGGGAATGTTTTTTTTATGAGAATGTAACAACAACAATATAAAGAGTATATTCTGAGAAGTACACCTAATACAGCTGATTTACACTCTGTGTTGTGAAGACCAGTCAATAGGTTTTCTGAATTTGATCTCATAATAATAATAGTTTTATTTAGTATGGTACATAAATTTACATTATGACATATTCAGCTCATTGTAAAAAATCTTTTACTTCAGGCATCCCGGGAATACTATCAATAAAAAAAGCAACGTTACTAAATCCCCCTACATTTTCGTATAATTCATAAAAACAAGTCCCTAATAATGTAAACACCAGAGGATTGTAATAAGTGTTTTAACAAAAACCTAATTTATTCAGTATATACAGATCATATATCGGTACTTCTATAAACGTAAATTGATAATTCTTAGTTTTTCTTTTAAAATATGTTTGTAAGTATATTAATGGTTTCCAATAATATTTCCAGGTATATTCACGACAATTAGAGGCATATATTTTTAAAGAGCATTTTAATCCACAGTTTGGTCATCACAATCAACTTTATGTAGATAAATAAATAAGAAAATTTGTAAAATAATAAAATTCATAGTGTCTATAGCCTATAAATGTATTATCTTAATATGTATACCTTAGCTTAATTACTCCTGTGGAGCTATTCCTTTAAATATATGACCAGTTAATTTTGTTATGTATACAGGTACAATCTTTCCTTTTCAAATTATAAAGTGATCCTTAGACACATTATTGATCCAATATTGAACTTTGAATTGATCCAAATAAGATTTCTTTTCATGATAGTTATGTTTTACTGAATTTACTCGATTCTTGTAAAATTAACATTTTGAACGAACGATTTCATTTCAAATATTTTTAATCCTTCTTTTAAAATGATTAGCATACAAAATCTTCATAGCAAAATAATTTCTTTTAATTTAGACTTAATTTCTGTATATTTTCATCAAAATATTCTATTCCATTCAAATTTTACTTATTTTTTAAGTCTTTTATTTCTATCTAATCAATTCTAACAATTGACGATTTCGTACTTCTTCATTCTTTGCTAAATGTAAACAGAACAAATCGTGATGTTCGTGCTCTGTTTAATAAACTAACCATTTGACCATTCCACTTTTTTTTACTAATCAGAATTAAGTCAAGTTTGCAGTTGAAAAATGACCTATTTCATAGTTTTTCTCTACTCATTTATAGTAGTGTAATTGTTTCATTGTTTATTAAATTCTCCATGCTAAACATTTCGCTATAACAAATATATGAGTATATGTATACGTACATATTGTGCATAAATATTCATGAATGGGGATATATACAATTATCAGTTTTGTACACCAAAGTGTGTTATTTTTTATTATTTATTACACATAAATTCTGAAACAACTGGGTACCCCCCTCCAAAGGCTTTACCTCACTTAAATGTAATAGCATTAAGGTGTATAATAGAAACAGTGTATGATTGAAAATACAACTCAGATAAGAATACAACCACAAAAACTTATTTCAATTAAGCAAGTTCGTTTTACGTTTACGAAAAATGTAAAAGAATACTACAGTAGGACTGTCACTGGCTTTTATTTTGAGCTGTCCACACATTATCGTAATATATTTTTGATCATAGTTCACTACAATTAACATCCGAGTGAAGTAAATGCAGATGTAATTCATAGATTTTATAGGGATTGTGTTTTAGCTAGTACTGAAATCTATTACGTACGTTTCATTATTTTCAGACTCGTCAGCTGAATGTTCTTGGATTCCAGCTGTTATAATTGTATTTTGCTATATAAACGACCCAGCTATTCTTTTTGCTTAGTATTCTTATACGATGACACTCGACAAGACCCCAAAATCAGAACACGTTGAACAGGAATGAAATTGTATTCAAAATAATAATAATAAGTGAACAGCAATCAACAATCAATAGTTTGAATAATGTTCATATATTTATAGTATATACATAAGAAGCTTCTAGATTTTTCTCCAATAATATGCCCGGGCTGATCGGTTTAGAATTAGCCAATCAGCGCGTAGCAACACCATCATGCATAAAACATGCTTTAATCCAATCTATGTCCCACTAACACCAGCGTTAGACGTTTGGCACTAAGACTCACACCAACTGTATTAAAAATTTGTGACTTGGAAGCACTACTGATTAATTTCAGTCCATAATATCAGCAATAGGAAATTGTACCTCATGCAAAGTATATGATAGATCGTTTGCAAACTAAAAAAAACTAGTTTCAAAATATTCAGAAATATCTCACTTCTATAGGAAGTCAGTAACTTCGCGAATTACTCAATGGTAACTTAACTTTCTGACTATGATATCCAGGTTCAAATCATACAGAGAACATCCAGTTCTTCAGGATTAAAGAATACACATTGTTAACAAGTCTCAAATATCAAGAAACTTAAGTCCAAATCTTTCTGTGGGTTACCTCCAAATAGATAACATCTAGCATTATGAACTTCGATGTTGAGTCTATTGAATTAGTGAGGAATAGACTATGTGACATCACTTTCTGTTCAGTAATATATATTTATATAAATATTTATTCACTTAAATACTTTTATTTCTTTTGTTTAGTTCACTGTTTCAAATGGTTATCCAAATACAACTGAACTGTCTTCATGTTCAGATAAGGTGAAAGTTACAAGTTCATCTCAAAATGTTTCACATATTGGTGTCCCACATTCATCGTCATCAAAGTTAATTACAAATGAGAAAGAAGGTAATATAAAGACTTCATTTATCATTAATGACTGTCGTTCGTGAATGTATAGTTTATACAGTCATCTTTCAGCCAACGAAATGCATTCTAATGTCATAAGGATTTAGGCTTATCGATATTGATTCAAACATTTGATATTTAAAATAATAGTGTTATTTAGTTAGTATTATATCTACTTTCAATATTTAATACACGAGCTCCTAAATAATTTCTCAAGTGATCCTTGTCCCTTAGTTATATATTTTTTAAATTAACATTTGTCATATTCATTTTATGTGATTTATGTATTGTTACTTTGCCAACACTTTACCATTGAACTGTAATTTAAATTGGTCAATTCATTATGCACACAACACTGCCCTAGAGAGATGCACTAAGTTGTTTGCACATTCTTATATCGATTTTCTGCTGTCCATTTATAATTTTGGATAGAGAGAAAATTATTGTATGTTTTTATAACAAACTATATATGTCATTTAATTACCATAAAATCTATTATAGATTTAATGTTAAGAATATAAAGATAGTTGTGTGATTTTTCAACAAATTATTTTAAGATGATACCTGCATCTCAGAGTTCATGTTCACTCTGGGACTCGAACCCAGTAGCTTTCGCTTCAAACGCCATCGCCTTATCCACTCAACTACTGAGTCCTGATAACCACTTGCTTGTTCAATGGGGTGAAGTTTGAATTCACTTAGTATTGTTTGTTTGAATATCGAGGCAATACGCACAGTATGCACATATGTCAATAAGAGACTGACCAGTTGCAGTCCTAAACATTTATGGGAAGATTCAAACAAACAATACTAAGTGAATTTAAACTTCACCCCATTGCACAAGCAAGTGGCTATCAGGACTCAGTGGCCGGGTGGATAACGTGATGGCGTTTGAAGCGAAAGCTACTGGGTTCGAGTCACAAATAGGACGTAATGCGCGTCCTGGATTCCACTGCTAGCCACTATCCATCTTTGCTTACAATGCTTGCAAATTAAGGCTATATCGAAGCAATACGCACAGTATGCACATATGCCAATAAGAGACTGACCAGTTGCAGTTCTAAGCATCAATGGGAAGATTCAAACAAACAATACTAAGTGAATTCATATTTTAAGATGATGTTGTGAAGAGATTAAAGTTCTTAACTTTCAACCATCTACTTCGGTTTTTGTGGTGGTTGTGTGGTATAATTAGTCTTCATACAACTAAAGTATAACTCAAAGTCAAGTACATATCAGCCTGTGCTTAATAAATGAGCTATGTTATATCTCCTGATGATTATGATATTCCGTAAACGTTTTTGCTGAATAATAATGGTGATGACTTAATTGTCATGCAAAATAACACGAAAAGTATCAAAATGTTTAGTTTATAAAGCAGTGAATAGCTTTGTGATTGTTGATGTTTGATAATTGTATGCCTTACAACCATTTTCACAAAGCCTTGATCACGTCCGTCTATTTCTTTCGGTCTATCATTGTTATTAGATTACCAGCTGCCACTCATTTTGAAATTTCTGTATGTAAATTAGTTCCACAAGGATTTATTAAAGATGCAAATAACTTAACGATGAGCAATATCCAAGAGAAATGAATTTTCTCCACGTTAAATGTTCAGCTTTTGCTCTGAATACCAATAAACACTCTGTTATGCTGCTTTTCTTCTGTACTCTGAATAAACGTAAGCTCTTAGAGTGAAAATGCAATAACCAAGTCACCGAGTTATAATTCGATGAATTATGTTATCTAAAACTATCAAACACGTGACATAGGGCCGCGGACTATTGAGATTTATCTATTTGAAATCAAACGTCTGTTCAGCGCTTCTTAGTTTATCTACTGAATTTTTGAATAATCTGAGATTGTAATCGTGTAGCTTATTTGTGGGATCAGTATTCCATATAATTACAGAATTTTGTGAATGGATTGTTGGTAATCGTTATTCATTTATACTTTACTCCTATTCTTCAGGATGTACAAAAACACAAGAAACTCGATCACCTTCACCGCCACATTTTCCAGACGCTACTTCTGCTGCTCTGGGCGGTTTGCATAACAAGCCATCATATCAACAAACTGATATATGTACAAATATACCAACCAACCAACATTCATTAGGACAATCCAACTTAGCTCAAAAGACTAGTCCACAAATCTCTCCTCAGTCTGTAGTTATTATAGACTCAAATAAAGCACTTCCTAGTTCAGTTTGGTCAGTTCAGACAAACAATAATCTTGGCTCTCGAGTTTCAGAACCAAGTCCGCGTGGAGGCCAAAAGTCGAAAACCCAGGTGATTAAGATTGACCTCTTTCTCTTACTTGAATACATCAGAGTTTATGTATTTAAAAAAGCTTTTTCCTTACCTTGGTATCGTCTATCTTTTTATGGGCTTCAGTTATTATCCATTCTTTAATTATTTATTGAATCAATAGATAATAAATTCATTTTAGGCTAAATATTTTAGAGCTCTAGGGAGATTTTTAATTTGTACTAAGTTGTTAACTAATTTTAGTGTTCTTGATCTTGAATTATGTTAAATAATCACCGACACATCCAACAATTTTATCAAGAACCACATATCAATAAGCGAAGTGTATTGACACATGCAAAATTGGACCTAGTTATAATATTAAGTTAGCCTTTATACATGGTGGATACTGCTATGTTTATTTTCTTTCACTAGCTCAGGTTGTTTAGATACATTACTCAATTATTGTATTTCAATACTATTTTCGTCATAAACATACGTGAGTCAATTAGTCATAAAAATTTAGTAGTTGCCATAATTATATTTTGTCATAAATACTCATCTTCAATTTCAACTGATCAGTGTTTGAATTGCAAGATCTAGAAATTTAGTAGATGGTATGGTATTTTCCAAGATGTTTATTCTAACGCATGTACAAATTTGTTTGTTGATCTGTAGAAAACACGACTCATTATTATCAAATCACATGCAGTGATTTGTCACGGTTGCTGATTTAAAAAAAATACATTCGAAATTGACGTAGACTGATCCTTTCAAATGATCTGAACAGTGCTACTTCCATCGACTAGTACGTATTATAAAAGACGTTGACAGTAATATTTTAAAAAAATAATAATATAACTGAATAAACAAGGTTATCACACGATCTTTTGCTGACGACTTGAACCAAACGAATAATGAGTAGTACATAATATGGATAGTCTACATGCATCCGAAGAAATTGTCAACCGATATATATATATATATAACACTGTAACTGGGGTTCCAAAATAAATCCACTGTTCTTACACATTTCATATTTTGTAAGATAACTGTACATATAATTGATTTTTACGATTATGGGATGATTATGTTTGGTTAAACGGCATTTCGCTGTGCTATCTACCTGTATTTAGGGATAGTAGCTTGAATTGCAGTTTGAGAAAATTCCAATTTTTATCTCGATGACTTGACAACTTATAGAAGATTTAAATCCCCATGTTTATCAATGCGTACAACAATAAATCAATAGTTCAAATGTTTGGTAATTTGTCTTACCTCATCAATGTTGTTGTCTATGTTTCTCACTTAATTCATATAACTTATAGCGTATAATCTCTCGCCTTTTCCTTTTTAATTGAATTTCGCATATAAATCGTTTATAATTCGTATATTATTGTCACTGTGTTGAATTGACCTTTTCAATAACTCTTGCTAATCAATACGATTACCTTTTTTTAAAGAGAAAATAATTTTTCTCTTTGATTTGCCCTACTTTCTTTCTCTCTCCTGAATTTCCAGTTGGATATCCAACATTCACAATCAGGCTTTAATCCTTCATCATCTAGCAACAGTAGTGGTTTAATCAAATCAATCGCTTTGCCCAATTCACTATGTGGTAATTTATTGAATTTTAATATACCATCAATTAATACAACAACAAGCACAGTTATTACTACTGGTTCATATTTATTACCTACAAGTATTAGCAGTGGTGCTGGTTGTATATCAACTGCTTCAAATAATATTTCAACAGCCAATTCTAGTTTGAACAACAGTGATACACCGGAAATACAAGTTTATAAAAAACGTTTTAATTCAGAAATTTTGTGTGCATCTATGTGGGGTGTAAATTTATTGATTGGTCTTGAAACGGGTCTTTCTTTATTAGATCGTAGTGGTGAAGGTCGTGGTAAGTCATTTAATTTATGGTAAATTTTATAATATAGACAGTTTATTATTTATTATTTTCATTTTGGGATTTTATCACTCTCGATGGAACGTGATTTTCATTGTTCTAAACGTTTTACATAAAAGTTGAGTTGTTCCGATTTTAATTACAATGGAGATAAACTTCGAAATCTATGGTTATTCCCAAGATATCGGAAAATTCCACTATTATCTTCACAAGATCAATGTCATTTATTGATTGATGATATGATACAGTAATTGCATAGGATTGTGTTCAATGTCGTAATTTCGTGAAGATTTATTTCAAAATATTATTCGTTGTGGTATATATACATATATATCCTTGTCTCTGTACTATTTCTGGTGTTGTATAACGAGTGCAAAGGTTTGTGCTTATATGTTTGATCCTTCGAGAAAAGTCATTCCATATCATAGTAAATTATTCGTATTGTTGATGCTGATCATCCATTTCCTTGGTTTGAATAACATGTCAATATACTGTTGTATATTATTCTAATCTTATTGCATGTGTTCATGCATTACTATATTATGCAGTCGTGAAATTTAACATGTATAGAAATGTGTTGACTGTAAACTGCGAAGTTATTCGAAACTACTTGATGCGTACTGCTGAGGATACCCACACTAGGACTAAATAGCTGCCTAGCTTGTCCTGGTTTCCAATGGTTATCTAAATAAAACCAGTTGATAGTGTAAACTATAAACATTTTTCAAGTGTGTTTTATTCGGTTTAAACTCAAATTTTGTGTTCTCTCACTTCATCTTCATGTAGTTTTATTCCAGTGAAGATCAATTAGAAGAGTATAAAAGGTTTTATTTTTGTACAACAGAGCAGCTTTATTTCTGATTTCAAATTAGATTCGTCATTTGAAAATTTTATTTGCAATAAAGTAAAACTTAATGGCTCATTTGTTTAGAAGTAATTTTTCACATGGTTATACAGTATTCAAAAATAGTAAAAACGTGTTTTATTTAGAAATAAAGCGCAATCTACAAATGCAGACTCCAGACATTCCATGAGTATATTGACAAAATCCTTAATATTTATTGGATTTTAGAGGAAAGATATATTATTTCAAGGATCTGATATAGATCTCTTCATTTTGTCAAAGTATTTTGTCATTGCTGTGCTGTTAGCATAAATCGTTTAAATGGAATATTATTCACCGAATTTTGTAAAGTTCCAAATTTTTTTATTGAAAGTATATTCATTTAAAAATTTGATCGATTTTTTAATGTAAAAACTTACAAAATAAGCAACTTTAAACGTTTTCCCTTATTTAAATTTAGATGATGTAACTGAAAAATGTAGTTGAGCCGTTTTTTCTTAAATGTATGACTAATCATATGCTTTAATTGTGCCTTTTTTATGTGAAAATATCATTACTCCTAGAACTGCAGCTTAATTATAGTATTTATCAATGAAAATAGATATTTCATTATCCAAGCTACTTATCAGCTTTGTTTATGCCCTGGTACGGCTGAGAGTGGGGAGAGTCCGCTCTCCCTCTCGAAATGCTGTCTATGGCTACGTGTATATAGCCTCTGACAGGGAAGTCCTACTCACTGCCTTCTCGTGGCATTACTGTTGTTTAAGAAATTGAGAGGACGAAAAGCGAATGCCCGGCGCTTTAACCGGGTTGGTGGACACGGAAAGTCCACCTAAGGGAGTTGAAAAACCCTGATTATAAACCAATGGCACACATGGGCTCCAGTATCCTGAAGGAACAAATGGAGAACGAACCAATCGTTGGTCACCGGCTACCACGGGACTGCATCTCCTCATGATGCTCCACTGCGTTGTGGATCAGATCTTCGGGTCAAAGACTCCGGGTGTGGCCCCCTAATAAAACCACCTGCTTCAGTTTGGTCACCTGGGCAGTATCACAGCTCTCACACAAATTGAATGAGATTTGTGCGGTGCATATTTATCTGGTGCTTCCTTGTACCAATATTTATTTGTTTAAATAAATACTAATATTTTGTACTACCACTTATACTATTAATATTTCTACTACTGAAACATCTTGACAATTGTTCGTGATTGTGCTGATGTGATACATTGACTTGATGTGATCCAGATTAGTTGTTGGTTATGACTGACCAACTCACTGATTAACTTCAAAGTAGTTTATGCAACTATGTAACAAGATAACTAAGAATTTATCGCTATTCAATTCCATTTATTTCTATTAGAATGTCATCTGTTGTTTTTGTAAAATAATCCTAATGGATTTATTTCAAAAAATTACTTGGCTAACTCATTTTAGTTAATACACAGTCTATAATCTCTTTAAATGTAGATAGAAATATGCTCTACATTATTGTGTTCTAGTTTTTATTTTTCTACATATTATAAAGAAATTCATTTACCTGTTGTTCTTTTTACCTCTGCTCCATTAATGATCGATGAAAGAAAATTGACTCTCGGGTTGTACTTATTGAATGCCGTTAAACTTGTGGTTCTAGAACAGTAATTTTTTCAATCAACAAAACCACATTTACAATTTGACGTTCTTTTCTACAATCTGTTTTGTTTTCATTTCACTTTTTTCCCGATCAAAATTTCATAGTTTATTCTTTAATTACAAGACGAAGATTTTCAAGAATGGCTGTTTTAGAAGGTCAGAATATTTTAGTTACTATATCTGGACGTAAAAATCGTGTACGTGTCTACTATTTATCTTGGCTTCGTAGTAAAATTATGAAAACGGAAGGAGTAAGTAAATTATAGTGTTTTTCTAATGTTTTAGCATACAATAGTATGAATCTGCCATTTTATTTGGCTGAATAGCATTAAAGAGTAAGCTGAAAAAATTTCCAGAGGGATATCAGACTAAGTTATTAGTTATTGGGCTGAGTCATATTGGGAGTTAAAAACTTTCCTGTAAGACGACACATACTTGGAAATTTTAGATACTAACTTAAAGTCGGTCATAATGGTATAGACAGATTAATTTCTCAGAACTATTTTCATAATATTTATTTTTGAAGTATATCCTTTCTGTTTAATTTTGAAGGACTTTTCAATCATACACATTATTAGAAATCAAATCAAAAACTTTCCGATTCCCCGGTTATCTACACTAAAACATATCACACAAATGTTAAGTTACCAGTTGGTCAAAACTGAAAATGTAACTTCCTATACTGAAGATAATCATCTTCAGACTCTCAGGTTATTGAATTCTCCGAAACGAATGGTGCATGACGCATCTTAACCACTTTTCCGATTAAAAGTAGAATTATTTTAAGAAGTATTTTTAGACTATTATTGGTTTTTCTCTCACTAATGAACTGTGACGAAGCATGTCAACTGAACTTCAGATTAACTTACAAATTTTTAAACATTGCTGAACTTTCGCTTAAACAAATCGATTTTTAACGTTTCATTTTCTCTTAACTAGTGTGACAAGAAGAATGGTTGGGTTAATGTCGGTGAAAATTTACAAGGTGCTGTACATTTTAAAATTGGTAAGTTTGATTCTGAATGTTTCATGTATATATATGATTATATCCTAAGCGTTATTTAGTGAATGTGACACTCCCTTATCTTTCCTGTTGAAATATAATTTAAACTGGTGATCTCAGTATATACACCGTACGGTCCCAGATGTCATAGGTCCCTTAAAAGTGCTTATATCCATCCTATGTTATCCATGTATAATTTTGAACAAAGAAGTAATTATCGTGTGGTTTTAAAGAAATTTTTTTGAAAATTCAGTCACTTTCCAAATACATTCTGAACACTAAGACGTTACTGACCTGTTGGTTCTATAAACATAGTTGCTCCGAATATTTTGTATGTTGGATGATTTTCACCTTTATGATATTATATGCACTGTTTAGCTGAATAATAGAGCTTTACTTGTCATGAAAGACGATATAAAACATGATGTGAATGTTATGAAAATTATTGATCTATGTTGTTACCACGCGCTGTGTTCGAGATTTATACCAATACACAAGACTTACTATATGTAGTCTTCTAACAGGTTACTGAGTGAGAGGAGGAGGGTTTTTGTGCTAAACCGATTTACATTAATAAACAGTTATATATATATATATATATATATATATATATATATATATATATTCGGAAAATGAAACATTTTCTTGGCCAGTACCATGCACTTGTCGTTAGGAGATTTTCCATTGAGACAACAGAGTGTCATTTGATGAATTTTGATTGACCCACTATATCATATGTCTTAAGGATATGCGATGCGGTTTCTTGATCCAAATATTCACTCTGTGAATACCATACATTCCAGTCCCTTCGGATACTTTCGTTTATTTATTCAAACACATAAATATTGGTACAAGGGAGCACCGAATACATATGTGCCACACAAGTGTGTGGGTTGTGATACTGCTGGGGTGCCCAGACCGAAGCAGGTGGTTTTCTTAGAGGTCCGTAAGGAAGTGGAACAACGTTAGGAGATGCAGTCCCATGGTGGCCGCTGACCAGCAATAGGTTCATATGTCATTTGTTTCCTTAGGATCCAGGAGTCCATGTGCACCATTGGTTTGGAATCAGGGTTTTTCAACTCCCCTAAGTGGATCGATCTTCCATATCCACCAACCCGGTTAAAGCGTCGGATATTCACTTTTCGTCCTCTCAATTTCGTAAACAACACCTCTCCCCCACTAGAAGGCAGTGAGTAGGACTTCCCTGTCAGAGGCTATATACGCGTAGCCATCGAGAGCATTTCGTTGTGCCGAGTGGACTCTCCCCACTATTGGCCGTACCAGAGTACTTAGGCGCTCGTCGGATATTTTGACCAATTAACTTGTAATCTAAATGTTTTGTGTCTTATTCATCTGTTCATTCTATGGATTCTTTTTTATAATATTTTGATCAATCATAAGTCTTGAGGGTTAATATTTTTCAAGTGCATTTTGATTATGTTTAATTATAGCGATTGAAGCTTCAGTTCTAAGGTGTAATGTTGATAGAGCAAGTCTGCTAAAACTAATTACTTATCCAGAAATACTTCGAATTATGCATTAGCAAATAGCCATGTTATTATCAACATACAACAATTCTTATATATAATCATTCAGTGTAGAATCACTAATAAAGTAGTTGTATTTATAATATGTTTAGGATCGCGGGGTGTTGTTTACGAAATTGAGAGGACGAAAAGTGAATGTCCGACGCTTTAACCGGGTTGGTGGATATGGAAGATCGATCCACTTAGGGGAGTTGAAAAACCCTGATTCCAAACCAATGGTGCACATGGACTCCTGGATCCTAAGGAAACAAATGGCATATGAACCTATTGCTGGTCAGCGGCCACCATGGGACTGCATCTCCTAACGTTGCTCCACTTCCTTGTGAATTATACCTTTAAGTGAAAGATCGAGATGTGGCCCCCTAAGAAAACCACCTGCTTCGGTTCGAGCACCTCACACTAATCGAATGATTTATGTGGCCGATATATTCCTGATGCCTCCTTGTACAAATGTTTGTGATTAAATTAAATAAAATTAGAAATCGCTAATCATCGTCATCGAAAGAGAGAAATGAGAATAGGCACTTCTAACGTGTCTTAATTCTTCTCTTAGAGATAAACACATATGATCTGAATTCCCTATGATATTTTTAAAGCTTTGGTGGAATATTTTTTATAAAACAGTATGGATGCTCCTGGTGATGTTAATTTTAACACAACTTTGTCCTAAAAATAAAACACAACAATCATTTTTAATCCGTAACAGTTTAATTTGTTTTCTTTGTTTTCACTCCTTTCGATTTTTTTAAAATTTCTTTTCACAGTAAAATATGAAAAAATTAAATTTCTTGTCATCGCATTAAGAGATTCTGTAGAGATTTATGCTTGGGCACCTCGTCCGTACCATAAATTTATGGCTTTCAAAGTAAGTTTTATTTATAACCAAATCGTATTAGTATTTCTGATTTAACTGAGAATAAAACAATATGTCAAGTAAATCATAACAATAAATGAATTTTGTGTGATGATTTTGTAATCAAACAGTGAAACGCAAATTTTTTAGTAAACGAGGAAGGCAGTTAATAGAGTCGTGTGTGTGTGAAGTATAGTAGAGAAATTCTGAAAATAGTCGCATCATTGGTTTTTGGTTTGGACCCTAATGTGAGAGAGTGACAGGAAAATGGTTGTTACTGTAGATAATGTGACCTGTAATAAACTGAAATCAAAATACATTAATCCATTTATTTATTTTATCTAAATAATTGAACAACTTTTATTCAACATACGCTTACCTTTCCACCTTCTTGTTCTGGTGTTTTTTCCAAATATCTTCAAGTTTTTTAATCCTTTTTCCAGTTTTCCGTGGGTTTTTTTTCGTTTTGAGGTGTGATGCTGTTGTGCATATCACTTTGCATGTGATATTACAGTTGGTCGATCAGTCATATATTTCGCTCATTAAATAAGCTTTTAAATTATGTACACGTTTCCTTGTTAGCTGGGGGTCTCATATCACTCATTCTGGACCCCTGTTTTCTATATACACTAGTAACTTTATTATTAGATATCCTGGATTTTAGAACACATCGCTGTAGTCTTCTGGACTAAGAAAAGCTAATTGGTACTCAGGGCTCTCTAGTTTCCAGCAAGGATTTGTATTATATTGATCGATGATGTAAGCGTATGGTAAAGTGAATTTGAATTATGAAAATTCTAGAATCTACACCAACCATCCTTTACTAATAATAATCATGTGCTCACTGGTGGCTAGGTTACAGAAGTGATCCTCACAGTTCTGGTGAGAAGCCATGACCAATGGAGTTCAACGTCGTCCTGTATGAGATAGTTATCCACTATCGCTAATCTATTCAAGTTAGACATGTAGATCATTGGATGTCGGCTCAGTGGTCTAAAGGTTAAGCGCTCGCAAACGAGATCAAAGGCTCTGGGTTTGGTTCTAGGTAGGGTTGTGAATGAGCACTTTTGATGAATATAATGCTAAACTGACAAAGCTATCCAGTCGTTCCTGGCTTTCAGTAGTTGTTTAGCGAAATTCAGTTCGTGGTTTAAATTATTAAATTTCTGCTATCTCCACAAATCTAGTTATATTAATTAAAACACAGTAATGACTTAATTTTCTATGATATTTCATCCTCCTTAGTGAATACTTGCAGAAGATTTTTTCATAAATTATTGGATACTATGATAGCCTTATATGATAAAGTTGTGATAGAAAAGGAAACTAAGTTCACAAATGAGATTACAATGGTGAATGTTACTTAATTTGTAAAACAATCTTGTAACTGATCATTTGATATAATTGGCCAACCGAACTACGTGACCACTATAATAAACATGCTTCAATGTCAATCCACTAATTCACCCCAATTAGTGTCATGATTTCTTGTCGATTACATTCACAGAAATCGCATATTATTATTACAAGTTAAATATGTGTTAGATATTTTATTTTATAGGTCTATCTTTCATATTTTTATTTACCTTGTACTTATTCTTCATTTCTCACCAGAGATTCTCTGAACTCAAACATCGGCCATTATTGGTAGATTTAACCGTTGAAGAGAATACCCGTTTAAAAGTTGTATATGGTTCATCTAATGGTTTTCATGCTATTGACTTGGATTCAAATATAGTATTCGACTTATATATGCCTTCTTTGGTAGGATATTGTTTTGTAGATTTGTTTATATTGTTTACTTCACAATAATTAGATGCATATGTGCATATGAGTCATCTGGCATTTACCATAAATTTGTGCTTCTAATAAAAATGCTAACATTTTTTTCAAATCTATCCTAGATTCCTTATATACATAAAAGTAATAATGAGTGGGTCTAAGCTTTATTTTCGGAACTAGTGATTTTGTCAGTGTGGCGAGTGGGGTTTGGTGTATTTCAATAAATCATTACTAAAGAAAAGTACTATTTCGCCTATCAGAACTACTCTGTAAAAAAAATAGCAGCTTATATCTGCATGTAGTGTGACATATCATACATTAACTGAAAAACCTCAACATCATCTGGTATTTTGAAGCTAGCCCAGCAGGACAATAACGCCTTATCATGGCATTCATACCTTCTTAATTATCATACAAAAATTTATCATGTGAAAAGGGACTTAACAAAACAGTTCTTTGATGAAAACTTATTCATTAGTCTAATTCCGAAAGAAATCGACCACGTAATAGGATTTGATTGCATTCAAAATCGCCTATCTCTTATCTTGTTGAATATTTTTGTAGGATAAGGATTGTTCCCCCTTTAAAGTATCAATTTTAAATTTCATTTCTGTGATTTTTTTCCTTGTTTTAGATTAATTCACATATTACTCCTCATTGTATAGTAGTACTTCCTAATACAGGCGGTATGCAGTTACTTTTATGTTACGACAGTAAGTTTTATTTATACTCATGTATTACTATCGATTTATTAGTTCACGTTTGATTGTACTAAAAAAGTAAATTTTTGGGTGTTTATAGATTAAATGAAAGCAAATTGTCTGGGACTTGTCATCCGTATTCATCTGTATTCCATGAAATATGGGCATTTTCGCTAAGACTATTTACATAGAACACTGGAAGCCGTCAAATTGGTTTGTGACTTCACAGTACTGCGACTACTTTTTTTTCTTCTGGATTCCTTACTGTGACATTTCACTGAGAACACTTTAACCTTGAAATTAATAGATCTACCAACATTTGAATTTCCCATATTTTTCAATGGTTCTTCGATCTATTTGTCAAGGATAGAGACCATTGTTAGAACAGTAATAGCTATATTAAGTAAAAACTTGTATATAATACATTTTCTTGTGATTAGCACCTTTCACAGAGTAATATGAACTTATTGTAAAACCGATTTCTTGCATCGATTTTCCTTTTAGCTGAAGGTGTCTATGTGGATACTAATGGAAAATTAACAAAAAATATCGTTATCCAATGGGGTGAAGTTCCAACTTGTGTAGCCTATATATCTACCGGTCAATTACTTGGTTGGGGTTTAAAAGCTATTGAAGTTAGATCAGCTGAAACTGGACACTTAGATGGAGTATTTATGCATAAACGTGAACAGAAATTCAAATTTCTTTGCGAACGTAATGATAAGGTTAGCTGTTTTACTAATTGATTGTAAAGGTTTAACTTATCTGAAAGAATTCACTTTGAAAGAACGCATGATTTCATATTGAATTAGATATTCAAGCAAGATAATATCATATGGGTCTGTGGTACAATTCAAGAATTCTGCATAGATCACTCCATGTATAATAGATATGATCATTAAATTGAAGAACATTTTTTAATAAATCCAAAAGCTTTCTCCACAAGGTGTTCCAAAATGTGCAATCATTATTGTACACTGAAAATGTTAGAGATGATAGTCTTGTAAATTTATTGTTTATCTAAAAGTTTGAACTGTTTAAAATTGACTATACCATTCTTTCGCAACAAGTTATCGTCTTTGATTTATCTGCATCAAACTAATTATGCTGGTACACTTGGTTGACGAAGTAGTGAAATGACCGTAGGTGACAAAACTAATAATTCCAGCCGAACAGGCTTTTGAAGATAGAATCATAGGCTGATCGAGCGAGCTTGGAATCCTTTAGCAAATATGCAACCGTGAAATTAATGACTACTTCAGGTTTCCCATAGAAGTGTGTAAAACAGACTCTTAACTTCAATATAGATGTGCTTACTTGAAGAATCAGGACTAGATATTTGTTGATAGACACTAACTATCCTCAGAAAAAGTATGAGGTAATACTCACTTCTTTCATTTTTGTCGTTAAATTTAAAGTCTCTATAATTTTTATCCTTTAGAAATGTGACAAATATCTAATCTATCAAGATAACTTGTTTAAATTACTACAGGTATTTTTCTCGAATACACGGTCTGGGCCACCCCAAGTATCTATGATGACCCTTAGTGGTATACACTGGTAATAAATTAATTTGACTTTCCCTGTCTACAGTTATTCTTGATTATTTTTAAACTGAGAGAGTATCACCAACAGCCGTACAATACAGAGAAATCAGCATCTTAATATTATTTAAGTTAACTTGTTCAAAATTACTACGATACTTTAATTTAATGTCTGACAATGCATTTCTATTTGAATGTGTTGTTGTAATGGTAAATGACAGTGATTTCGAGTAAGAGGAAATGATAACTTTCCAACCAATTTTTATCGTTTTAGTCTACAGCATCGTACAAATAAACAAACAAAAACACTTTCTCTCCTAATCTTATGCATAATTTACAATCTTCCAACCGACCTTTATTTGCGCATTTTGTTTGAATTGTGTACATTATCGTTACTAATATTAACCCACATGAATGAATGAAATGTTCTACATATTTATTATTACTTGCCAGTAAATCAAACATACTCATAGACACTAAACAAACAATGTATCCCAACCTGTGCTGTGTATGTGATGAAAGCTTATGTTCTTTTCTTGTTCAGTACTGTTATATATATACAAAGAATTTTAGGAAAATTTGATTTGTAGTTGTGAAGTGTTTTAGAAATCTTTACTTCTAATTGTAACAATAACCTCAATTCCTTCCCTCTTATATTGAACTCTTTTGATATATCCATCTTTCTAGGTGCATATATGACCATATGTCCTTAACTTTATCAGTTTTGGTTAGTGCTATTCATTTCCTGTTCATATTATCTAGAGGTTATTAGAATTTGACATATGCGTTATTATTATCAATCAATCATTCGTTCATCCACTGCTCTCAGATAATAATATGGATAATCTTGCTTATCAAATATTCATTTCTACTTTAAGTTTTTCAGTATTATTTTCAATCCATGAGGGATGATGATAGGTTTGTTACGTACAAATAAATACCTAGCATGTTTTGCTCCTTTCAATGTTTCTTAATATGAACTCTTGATAACAGTTTTCATTTCTTTCTTTTTTTTTAAAAAAAGTTCATGCTTATTATCTTATTCGTCTCGTTTGTATTATTGCTAACACTCAGTATTTAAATGAGTTGTATGAACAAATTTTGTGTATGCGAGGTAGTGTAAGAACAAAGCAAATGATCCACATTTTGAATGGATTTCTTTGTGTATGTTTTTCGTTGGAAGGGATTTCGCATCAATCGTAAAGAAATAAGATCTATTAGCTAAAAGACATTAAATAGGAATAAATATATTTGTAAAATCTCAGCGAATGAATTTTTTAAATTAAATCCAGCGTTTCGCCTGGCAATCTGGTCCAAGCTTTTTCAAGGAATTATAATCAAACATCAAAATTATCGAATATAAATAGGTACATGGTTCTCCGAGTTCATTATACCCTGAATAGATCATCCAATCAACGTTAACAATAGTCTAAACTAGGTATGTTTAAGAGATATGTGATGTGTAGTGAAGAGTGTTCATATAACATATTGTGATGTTTGATTATAATTCCTTGAGAAAGCTTGGACCAGATTGCCAGGCGAAACGTTGGATTTAATTTAAAAAATTCATTCGCTGAGATTTTACAAATATATTATTCCTATTTAATGTCTTACTTCAACTCGGCGCTCAAATACTGTGAAACTATTCGTTCTAATTTAGACGAGAGTTCTTATATATTAGCTAAAAGGTTCTCAAAGCCTTATTGTTTATTTTTTTTAAACAGTGGCAATTAAGTCGTTTAAAAGTATAGTACATGAACTGAAGATCAGATGTTTGGGAAGGTTAATCTTGTTTACACTGTAGAGACTATGGTTTAATTGCGAAGCTTCCACTGTCGTTCTTTTCAATACTGTCGACCAATATTGATGCTAATAAATGCTTCGCAATTAAACGATCCAACTCAGAAGAGAAACAATCGAAAGGATCAGCCTGAGCTTCATGTTACACTCAACTCATATCGTCGAAATTCGATATCGATACCCATGTAGTGGTAATGTACTTTTGACCTATCGCAGGCAAATCTGTTCTACATAGCATGCATTTAGGTTGTTTGCAGACAAGTTCAATAGACTACAGCAAACGTCACCTACACATTGCAAGTGATGAGTGGCATTGTTGTGCAGACGAGTTATCCCGATTGATGTATACAACATAAATAAGACGATTACTCTCACTAACCATAAGCAACATTTTGTACTTTTCCGATGCTAAGTCTAGTTTTCAAATGGGAATTTTGATGGAACATTAACTACCATTTCTTGCTGCGAACCTTACAATAAAGTTACATGAATAGTTAGCAAAAATCTGCTTATTTGCTAATTATTACAATCGTTATATTCGAATAAATCAGCTATACAATAGTTAAAACGATAATGTCGGATTTTGAAATTGCCAAATTTTTGTTAATTAAATGAGATTATCCTTAATAAAGAACTTGGAATTCCTCGTTCTAAACACTAATGGGGAGATTCAAACAATTGATACAAAACCCGCCCGATTGCACGACCCAGTGGCTGTTTAGACTCAGCAGCTAAGTCGATCACAATTACTTTATTAGTGATTCTATACTAAGTGACTATATACAAGACCATAAACCAATAAAAAAGAATGAAACCATATTACATTATACAAATGGATTTTTTAAAATTATATTAAATCCTCAAATATCTAGTACTGTCGACGAAGATGAAGGCGATTGTGGAAATTACCTTGAACACCAGTTACTAAGTCCCAGTACTTTTTTTGTTCGTTTAAATATCTCTCCGAGTCAGCGTTAGACCTATACTGCATTAAGGCTTTGAAGTCTGGACGTCGTATACAAACGCTCTTCTGTCCATTATCACGGTTCGATAATTTAGCTTTGTCTGTAGCAGCCAAGTGTTGCTTATAAATTGTTCTCATCTTCCGATGGCCTAGAACAGTACCAGATGGTAACCGTACTTCATAAACTTCTTCATCATCTGACTAGAATGGAATAGATAAAAGTATTGATTGAGTGGGCGTGAATTATAAAATAAATGACCTAGAAATTGTAAGATTATATACTAATGGCTATTTATCTTGCAATAAATTTATACAGCGATTTAAAACTTATCTCTGCAAAAACTACGAAAGAGTGAAGTGACGTTTCAAAAGTAACTACATCTGATTTCTTCCAGCTAATTTGCCTCTCCTGGATATGTGAAGTCATACTAATACGAACATGTCATAGGTAACTGTTCATACTTCCGTATCTCCAAAATGTCACTTTATTTATCTAGCGTATGGCCTGTCATATTGTAACAGAAAATCTTGTTTAAATATACAAGTAGATTAATTTTTATTCCCGAGAGCAAGGTTACTACTGAATGTCTCGAAATGGAGAGGTTAAAATAGCTAACCATGCGAAAAAACGCCCCGTTGTCCCATGTATGAGATTGTTACAAAACCAAAAGAAATAGGTTTGACAGTTTTGGTTACTAATGTGCAAATTAGACTAACTCAAGATCCTAATTTACATGAATAAGCTTCTGAGTAATTAAGCTTCATTTTAATTTACCAATCAGGGATAAAAACAACTTACAAGTATGAAAGATGGTACAACGACTGACTGGTCGTAAAACTGACTAAACAGCTCACCACCTGCAAGAGCAGCTTTAGGGTAATTTATCTCGCAATCGTCATTTGACTCTTCTTCTGCTTCAGCTACCAGTAATGCTACTTGGACGGGGTCTTCTACTCCAAACCATACTTGTTTGTGGCCAGGTTTGTCCAACATATGACTGCGGACAGCAGATAGGGAGATCCGAGCATTGTCTGATCCTTCCACACAGCTACCGTAAAACTGACGACCACATGCCAAGCAACATCGTTCTTCCCCCACGATACGTCCTAATTCAATTAACAACCCGGCAGGATCGGTTAATCTTTCTGGAAATGGAACACTAAATTTGTGCGCATCAAACATGTGACTTAGGACACGTTTGGCCAAGTCGCTTTGTTTGACACTATCAAGTGACTCATTCGGCAAATAATCCAGTGATATGTAGCGGTCACAGAACAAACATGACCCCAGCGGTAATGGTTCTGTCAAACAGATTTCTCCTGCAGGTTTAGTAGAACTGATGACTGTTTGAGCAGTTTTCCTGAAGACAACAGGAATGAATGTATCAGAGGCCTTATATATATGAATTAATGGTGATCAGATATGTGCAAAAAACATCCTGACAATAACGATCGATGTTGTTCAATAATTACCCTCCTTTATTGAACCCTTAATTTTGGATTGCCCCCAAATGCCCTGGTACGGCCAAGAGTGAGAGAGTCAGCTCTCCAAATGCTTTCACATGGCCAGCGAATATGTAGCCTCCGCCAGAGAAGTCCTACTCAATGCCTTCTCGTGGTGGGGGTGTTGTTTACGAAATTGAGAGAACGAAAAGCGAATGTCCGGCGCTTTAACCGCGTTGGTGGATATAGAGGATCCACCTAGAGGAGTTGGAAAACCCTGATTCCAAACCAATGGTGCACATGGGCTCCAGTATCCTGAGGGAACAAATGGCGTACGAATCAACCGTTGATCACCGGCTACCATGGGACTGCATCTCCTCACGATGCTCCACTGCCTTGTGGATCAGACATTCAGGTCAAAGGCTCCGGGTGTGGCCCCCTAAGAAAACCACCTGCTTCAGTCTGGGCACCTGAGCAGTATCCCAGCTCTCACACAAATCGAATGAGATTTGTGAGGCGCATATTTATCTGGTGCTTCCTTGTACCAATATTTACGTGTTTAAATAATAAATAATTTTGAATTCATAAAGCACACTTGATACTCCTAAAACAAATAATATGTACCCCTGGTGAGTTTGAGCAAAGCATTGGAAGAGTGAAGATATTTACGAGTTGAACAAAACTAATATTATGTACCGTTAAGGACCTTTTGCGCAAATAAAATTTGTGTGGCGCATATACATTTGGTGCCTCCTTGTACCATTGTTTATGTGTTTAAATAAACATCACTTACAAACGTTTCATAAATGCATGAATATGAGCAAACGTTAAAGATGTGACCAATAACGAGATGAGACAAAGTCTAAAATACACTGGGAATGTAAAAGCATATAATGCTCAAGCTCATCACGATACAATAAATGAGAAGCAGAAGTTTAAGTAATAGTTGCGTAAATCTGGGTGCATTGATGACAGAAAACTGATATATTGAAATGATCACCTTAAAACGAAACTTAGCCTTTATCTCAGATGTTCGTGATTGTGTTTTGATACAGACTGTCATCTATTGAATATGAAAATCTACCAGCGGTCAAACTTGAGAGGAACTAATTGGTGTATTGAGTGACGAATAATACGACGAAGCTTAGCGAACGTTATAATAAAATCAACGCAAAAATAACCCATTGGTCCGGGACAATGCGGATAAAACAAGGATTTAGAAATATATTTCTTACGTCTTGAACAAGTGGCTGTTATGTATATGGCGCTTCGAAATCAGATGGGCAGTAAAAGATTTGTTATTTGCGAAGGATTTTTTGCAGGCGTTACAATACGTTTTCTAAGACAAAAATATGTAACGAATTTTTCAAACCTCTATAGCCACAGGTGCTTCTGCAGCAATCAATTGTTTTTTATGTACAAACATATCTTCAGATATCGGTAGTAGATCAGAAACGACACGTTTTAGGTTGTATATATGCCAATCGCTCCTGACATGGTTGATTCTTTCTGAGATGGGCACATCAGCCTTACAGGAAGAACATAAGTACGTCATCCCTTTGGTGGGTTGCGTCTTGTTAGTAGCGATGGAGCGTGCGATGTGAGAGCTGAAAATGAGGGCAACAGATAGTGTAACTCGATGACTTAATGGATATACTTAGGTCGAATGAGAAAACGTGACTTATGACAACTATTATTATCAAGCGTTATGCTGAGATAACTTACCAACCAAAACTACGTCTGCTAACGTGATACACTCAATTCGTAACAGTCCCTGGCCTTGACCTTGACCAAGGTGAAAAACAATGACGCAAAATCTACAATTTCAATAACTGTACAGCAGCAAACATTTTCAGGCATTTCCCTATCAATCCAGTGAATCAAAGCTGCGGAGAAACTATACGCCATGAACGGAGCATTGTATTTGTTATATTGAGATGATGTATTTTTTATTAAACAACTGGATCATGCTGTGAATTTCGTTGTGGTTGTCATTCCTATTTGCCACATCTGACTGCGTTACTCCGGACATGCGCTGTGTGCTAGGATGATGTTCCTAATCTTAGTGAGTTCAATCACATTGTTGATTTTTCTCAAGTAGACCTTCAATGAATTATGTTACTGGAGAAAGGTTAGTTGTGCTGATATCTATGTTTTTACTAGTAAGCGACTGTTGTTTTCAGTCTCAAAACAATATCACCATTTGTCTTCTGTTAGGTAAGTCTTACTGGAATATAGCTCGTATTTTGGGTTTATATGCTTAATTATCGACATTTAACTATTTTGAGTAACATGTCTTTGCAAATGAAACAAGATTTAGGGCACCCGCTTAGTTTAGTATTCTTGGTTTTAGTCTATATGCTTCTACTATACTTAAGTATAGTGCATGAAGCGTGTAATGAAGCAGATCAGTCAAGTAAGTAGAGCTGCTCGCTCGTTTCCCTTAGCACGCTCGATCGTCACAACTAGGAAACAATTAGTGTGGGTTTTTGTATGCGTTACCGCGTAATACGCTATATATATATATATATATATATATATATATATATATATATATGGGTGTAGAGTAGCAATTGACTATGATCACCACTACAATAAGATTACGTGCCAGAAATCGACTTGGATCCCTCGGTAGGCTGAAAACTAGAAGCCTGTTAGTGGTCCAGATAAGATATATTTGTTGGTGATCTCGTAGTATCAAAAGAATACCGAGATCGTGCCAAAGTTTAAGGGCGGAACTTGTGAGCGTACTTGTGTTCGTGCCAGGTCACAGGCAACGGAAGTAAAGTGTCTTTGGTACAGTTAAACAAACAAGTACAGTGAAACAATCACTGGTACAATTGGTTATAATGATAATTGTTCCCATCATAACAATCGCGTTCTCGTTATACATGTGGGGCAATACATATTCATGCCATATATATATATATATATATCTCCAGGAAGCCGAAGTTGAGAGCTTCGAATTTGTACAGAACAGGAGGAATCACGAGGGTGTTATTCTGATGTGTCATATTTATCATATTTCCAGTAGACATAGCATATCCCTAATCCATTTCGTCAAAAAGTTACACGTAATATAGTAGTGATAAATACTAATTGTAGTAACCTAGACTTTGATAAAAACCACAGAAAAACTGTAATTACTCCCATGTCAGTCCGTTTTTAATGAGCTCACTGATTCAAATCAGTATGTTTGCAAATAAGAAAATAAGTGCCTTAGATGCTGTTGCTGTCATTTATCGTAAGATAGCGTTCATTTTGAAAAAAACATAAGTATGTTTGGTGTTTCTTTGTGCACTGTGCGTCTAAATCTAAGCATATTTATAGATCACTGTAATTTAGCAATTTCCACGGCGTAAACATCAATAACAGGGTAGCCAAATGTCTGTTTTTACTTTTTTTGCAAAATAGCAGTATACAGTCGTGGATGAGGAGTGTTTTGCATCTGAGTTAAATGTGGCTGGCTGTGGACAAACTTTAGGATTCTTTCTGACAGCTGGGAATTCGGGTTCATCAGACACTAACTCTATTTGTGTATCTTCCCGTCAAACCAGATGCTGATACATTGGGATACTTAAATGGGAGCAAATTATTGAAAGCTGTACAATACGGTACCAAGCCCATACTATGCTTTATACAAGATGTGGCAGCTGATACCATCTTAAACTGATGTTTCTGAACTCGGGGTAAGTCATAAGTGCATAAAATCTTTACTTGAAAACATGCGATTTGTTTATTTGCCTATTCCACATTTTTGACTAAAGCCATTCCTTTTTTTCCAACAGCAGTGAGCTTTCACAGACCTTACAAACTTTTTGTCGTTAGAACTATGACCCTCTGAAACTGTTTACAGGAGGCTCAACAAACGTCAGCTTTTCCAAAGCCTATCAAAAGCATGCTGGACATTCACTTTAGTCTCTCAACCACTTTCAGTATTTTTGAGTTACTTCTTTTACCCTTTAATTAAAAAAAACAAGAACTACAACTTAACGTTGCCAGTGAGAGTTTCAAATGGAAATCTGGTGCAAATATTTGTTCGATATTTGATTGTTGATGAAACTTCTCTAACAAATTTGTAAATCTGATGCTATTTTATTTCATGAAGTTAACAGTCATAAAAAATTTATGAAACACAAACACGTCAGCGCCTAGTTGATATGTTATAAATGTATGTGATATATTACACATCTTCGTCATTTTTTTAGAAGACCTGCAAACTAGGCCTTTTTACCTATTCCAGCCACGAGGATGTGTCACGGCAGTTGATGTTTACACGTGTGCTAAGCACATCCTAACCCTCCATAAGTCCAGTCTCACAGTTGCTTACTCAAATGCCCTATGATATGCTAGCAACAGCTTTAAACACACTAATGGAACTCATGGCGCCGTACGTCGGCATACAATCTCGCTTAGCTTTCTAGTGAAAATACCACTGCAGTCCTGTTGAACGCGTCATGGTCCCCCTTAACTCCATTTAAACAAATAAGTTTGTATCTACCGAATAGAACGATTTTATTCTTCAAAGGTTAGTCTAAATAATTGTTCTCCGAGCGGCTTGGTGTGCAGAGGCCATTCTGTATTTGAGTCGCTGTGGTTTCGTTTGGTGTTCGTAGCTTCTTTTGCATGGAATAAATGGTTATGTCTAAAGATACCACAGGCATTCGGAGTCTGAAAACGCCCTTACATTTTTAATCTTTGTGATCGAGGCATGCCAACTCATCCAAATAAGGAGGTTCAAGAACTTATTAGAAAGGTTATCAGTATTTCGGGAAGAGTTTAGTATAAGCTGGCTAAGCACTTCACAGTGCAAATATCGAACGTTTGTGGCATGCCATCATCCCTGCCGTCATATACTTCTGGAATACATGAAAAACCCTTCAGAAAAGGCTCATTCGAGTAAGAACTATAAACCACAAAGTTAATCATATTCCTAGACAGCGAACTCGATGGAAACTAGATGACACAAATGCCTTTCACAATAACACATGATTTCCGTTTCCAAGACGAAGTAGACGGTGTTTATAGACTATATGGGGCTATGGAATTCAAAAACAGCAGAATAAGAACAGATACGATGGGACGTGTGCAGCGAACGTCGAAATCAAATTCGATAATTAGTACCTAAGGAACATTATTGACCGAGTAAGATTCAAGTCTATCTAACGCATATTTGCGCGGCCTTTGCTTTACGATATAAAACATGGTTCGAAATATGAGATGTGACAGAAACTGTATACTAAAAGAGATCCCCGTGGTTATGTATTTAACTTGACTATATATACAACTCGTAGGCTTATTTCTTTCACATCAAATATTGTTCTTGCTTTATCAGTATCAGTGATGGGTCCGTAAACTTCTCCACGAATGTCATTGTTGTATTTAGCTTTTCTTTATGGTGATGCATATCGATAAAGTTCACATGTAACTGTCTGTGAGACTTCAGAATAAGAAAGCGCTCGCTTTATAAGTGACCTTTTCCTAGTGATAATTTGTAGGCACGTAAAGTGACTTCTCCAAATAGCAAACAGTTCCTCTGACTGATATTTGAACGCATATTGCAGCGGAGAGACAATCAATATTGCAAAATGATAATGAAGCAACTAATGTTTATTCAGAGACATGATAAACGACGGTACCACATCAGTTTACAAGATTTACGGTAATGACTACAAGTAATATTTGTTGTGCAAAATAATGCAAACTCTCACCAGGTTTACATAGGATCTGAAGCAATGCATGCTCACTTTTATTAGGCTTTTTCCAAGGAATGAAAACACTGTTTGTAATTATAAGCAAAGATGGACAGTGGCTAGCAATGGAATTTAGGACGCGCTCTTCGTCTTCTTTGGGACTCGTCAGCTGGATGTACCTGCACCTCAGAGTTGATGTTCACTCTGGGACTCAAATCCGGTACCTTACGCCGCAACAGCAACAAATAGAACAAAACCATGAGTGTCTTGCTTGTTGTAAACAATGGCCTTCATTCCCCAGCCGTCCTACGATTTTACCTCACCATTAAGTATTAGAAAACGAATCGCAGATACCAAACAAACGGATCCACGAACTTCAAGCATGACTCTGAAATCTGATTAAAAAAAATACAGTGACGACGTTCATGATAATGCCATTTTTTCACGGTTTACAAACATTGTGAAATTACCGTAAAGCACAGCCTAAATATTACTAATCCATATGTAACAAATCTCGGTTTTCGATTTCGTCGGTGGTTGCAGATGCCATTTACAGAAATTTATTCACGATCTCTATAACAGATACATAAGCATGTATTAACTAAAGACATGGTTAAGTTACCGTGTTTAAAATAATCATCCATCATCATACTTATGAACAATATTTGACTCATTTATCAGAAACTCATTGTGATCTTATATGCAGTTGCTATATATATATAAAGGGGGTAGAAAAGGGTTTCAGCGTGAAACATTACTAAGTTAAGTTACCGTGTTTAAAATAATCATCCATCATCATACTTATGAACAATATTTGACTCATTTATCAGAAACTCATTGTGATCTTATATGCAGTTGCTATATATATATAAAGGGGGTAGAAAAGGGTTTCAGCGCGAAACATTACTAATATGGCTTTTTCTTTCTCAGATAAGTCACACTATAATATGTCAGTTCCAGCAAAAAGTAGAACACATTTTGTGGCCTCATATCTGGCTCCAATTGTTATCAAATGATTGTTATCGAAATATATATAATCGTCTATCCTCATACATAATTATCGACCTAATCCGCGTTGGTGAATATCGGAATTAGATAAGCGAAATACGAGAGTGGATTTTGACTATGTATATCTCATGCACTCACTGATTTGAACAAGCGATCAGGGAGACGAAACAAATAAGGAAAAGCGAAGTAGGTTGGAGAAGCGCAATGAAGT